CGACAGCTCGTGTTAATCGTGGACGCGATTCACAACGTCCGTTGAAGCAAACGGAATACATCAAGGAACGTCGCAAACGACTCATCCAACAGAACAAGATAGGGAGAAGCGACGCGTGTCCCTCATCAATAACAATGTCAACGATACCGTGATATTCAACAGTATAGAACCGCAAGTACGGTCAGCCAAAGTACAAAGGTCCTTACATAGACCGAGTCAATGACAATGGCACTGTCCGCTCCAACATGCTACCGCCAATGCGGCACAGTCTACCAGACTTGGAACATAAGTATATACACCCATACAAGGCCTGATCCCTTGTAGGATTGCCATATCGTGCGAGCAACATGTCTACATCCAATCTCATAAGAGTGCCCCGCACTTTAAACATATGTTCTCCTTTCCACTGATGTCGTGCCTTCTGTGACCCTTGTCAGGGGGCGAATGCAATACACGCTCTTAGCCTTATTCGCGACTCGATCCTAGATGGGGTTTGAGTTCGACTCAGACGAGTCTCTCGTGAATAGTCATTGAGACAGGGTTCTCATGACCGCTAGTCATACTAGGTCGATGGTGAAACATCGCGCTAGATATTTAGCTGGCGTGGAGAGATTCCACGCTACTAGATCCAGGCTAGACGAATCTTCCACGCGTTCCGTTTTTGGATCGTGGAGAGACGTAGGATTACTACAGCAACCTACTCTATCACACTTTACAGTCTCCCGCGGGAGTTCAGATCTACGATCCCTTGATTGTGATCTCTCTCGTTGATTAGTTTTCATAGCTTTCTAATCCTCTCATAACTTTCATTCTCTCAAACTCAAAACACTCGAAAGATCTTTACACTAGCTTTTAGCGTAGTGCACAGATGTTGGTGTACAACAAAACTGGTGCCCAAATCAATGCCAATCAGCTGAAATCACTGAGAAAATCATTGCGCGAAACAGTAGTATTATCATAGTAAGCTGATCTTCTTTATCTCTAAAGAGAATGGGCATTGGAGTTTGCTTTTCCATGGCATCCACAAATGCTTCCTTTGGGATACTTTCGTAGCTTGGATAGATGCCATATGGGTAAGGTTCAAGAAGAGGAGTCTCATTGATCTTGGTTTCCTTCTCCTCTGTCTCAACTGCTGTGACTTTGGGTTTCCCCTTGAGTTGTTTCTTCTTTGGAGGCATTGTAGGCGGGCAGATACGGTATACCATAAATTGTAAAACCGTAAAACCGTGAATTGTAAGTGGTCAACAACAGATGGACGGTAAACCGTAAGCAGTAAACTGTGGGTATAGTAAACCGTAAACGGTACAGATGGGATTTTTGATCTGAGAATATGCCGTATGTACGGTACACCGTAAACGGTACATACAGGATTTTTTATCAGATAGTTTGCGGTATGTGCAGTATACAGCAAGGATCAGATGTTGACTTTAACAGTGTAAAGCCCTTTGAAATAAGCAGCTTCCTTTTGTAGAATAGTACTAGAGGGTATATGACCACTAGTAATCACAAGGAGGGGAGTGTGGTTGCCTTCTAGCAGAAGCAAAGATGGCAACAACAACAGCAATATACTGTTGCTGTTGCTGTTCCTGTTCCTGTTGCTGTTGCTGTTGTTGTGACTTGTGATTTTTGGGAACATTGTTTATTCAGTCACTAGCGAACACAAGACTAAAACTGGCATGCTACATTGTGGTGCTGTTGAGCCGCTGTCAATCTCATCAACCCCCTGAATGTTTCAGACGCCGTCTTATGTATAAGACAATGACTGTCGACAAGGATTATGGCACAGACAGTTTCACCCTGCTCGACTGACGAGTTGTGGTCCGAGGCACCAAAACCAACCTGTAGGTTTTGGTTGAGGTAACCAATACCTCATCCAGAGTTTTCGTTCATGAAATCTATACTAGCTAGTAATATTGTATCTGTACCGGTACATGAGTTAAGCTTATCAAACATAGACCCAGCAATGCTAGTCTACATGTATTGAATCGACAAGATCTCTACTAGTGTAATGGGTATGGTCTATTGTTTGGTAATCGGCATTCTATTATCTTACTAGCTAGTTATATCTATCTTATCGTGCGAAGAGGACCAAGTTGCTCGGGGACTTGTGCATACAGGAAGATGGGTGCCGACACAGGAATCACCACCAAATCACTAGGAAACAACAATGGAGGGATGAATCCAATAGGAGGATCTGTTCCGTTCTCTGTTCTCTTGTGTGTTGTCGTGTAGCCTCCTTCGCTCTGCGGTTCTTGCCATTCAATGACTCGACGACGTTCAAGCTGGTGATAGGGCTTGAGTTAACAGTCTCCTCCGTAGCAGTAGCCTCTCCTCTTGTTGTTATCCGGCGCAATCGTTCGTTCGAAAAGGACGCGACAATGGGATTTCCTCGGCTGTCAGCAGTGCAGCAGAGAAAACAACAAATAGATATGAGATTTATTTTCTGTGAGACTTACTCTTGTTTTCAAATTGCACCAACTCGGCCGTCCATGGCTGAGAACTGACTGCCATCCCATCATCCATAGGATTCAATGAGGGATGGTTTTCCAATCTGCACCGGAGACGGTCGGCTTGAGTGAGGCTTGGATAATACCGGTAGATGTGCGACCGATTCGATTCGAATAATTAAAACAACTCACCTGTTGACGGCCGAGCTCGGAGTTCTCTCCTGAATACCATAGAAATCCAATGAGGGAGAGAAGTCAGCACTGTACCTTCAATTAACACTCTTGATAATAACAACAACACTCTTGATAATAGGCTTACCTCGTGTCGTTCGATCGATCGATTCAACTGAGGCCGATTGGATAAAGCGCGCTCTCACCATTGTTGTCGGCCAAGCTTGGATTTACCTCCTGTTTACCATAGGAATACAATGAGGGAGAGAAGTCAGTGCTGCGCCTTCAATAATACACTTGCTAATAGACTTACCCGTAATAGTAGTAGCGATCGATCGATTTTGACTGAGGCTGTAAATTAGACGCCATTGTGTGGTTTTGGTACCGTAGGAGGAATAATGAGAGAAGCCTGTCACGTGAAGTCTGGTTTGAATTCTTGACTGTGAAAAAAGAGTACTCTCCAAAGCATTAAAGGTTCGGGTGTGGTCCAAAAGGTTGAGGTTATTGTGAGGCTTCGGTTGAACGTTATCTGTCGGTTTGCGCAGGGCGACACTGTCTGTGTTCTAATCTGTACCCAATGACTGTCTTATGTTTAATAAGACGGTCTTATTTTCTATCAGACAGCCGTCTTTAGACAGAGTCATCGTCTGATACTTTAAGACAGTTGTTCATGTTGTAAATTTTAACAAAACTATTTACAGCTTTTTTCCAAGAATCAATCTTTTACCCCAAGGTGCTGGTAGATTCTCTACATACGCGGAAGCCAGAGATACAAGTACTGAGAGACTGCAGTAATAGAAGAAAGCTGGTTGCATTCTTTAAAAATAAAAAGAGCCATGTTTGCTACATGTATCTCGAACAGTACCAAACTATTAGTAACACAGCTGTGTGCGTAGATCCAGACGGTAGACAGTCCTTCCCAGATTAGCCTTAAAAAAAAACTAGCAAGAGATCCAAGACGATACCGGTGCACTGTGCTGCGAAGCAAAACAGGGAATCCAATTCACTGTGCGTTCAGTTCTAGCTAGCTAGTATAAGGAGCCAGTTCATTAGTTTGCTCACCATTGCCCGCAACCCACAGGATATGCAGCCATCATGACTGGTGAAGACAACCAAAGAATGATCTGAGAAGATGAAGCCCAAGGCTGAAGGTGGTGTATTTGTACTGTGGCATTATTTTGCTGCGGCTGAAGAGACCTGGGACCTGGATGGAAGGTTCTTCTTCTGTTCTGATAGCTGTTCTGATGTTCTGATAATCCTTTCTCAGTTGAAGGACTTAAGGATCTTGTCTCGCCGCTTCCTTCGATTTGAACGTTTACGTTTGTGACGTTGTACGTCACCTTTGATTGCAAAAAATCAAGAATACATGTTTATGCCTCATGCTTAAGATTATTTTCCAAAATGTCTGTCCACTTTGACGTGCTAACAACGCAACTACTAGTACTGGTACCACGATCCTAAAAGCATCTTAGAAACAAGGGACACACAGGTTTCCCGCTCTAAATTCGGCAAAGCCGTAACCGTTGGCATAAATCCCAACCAGCGGTGCACGTGGGAGTGCCTCTGCTTTCCTAATTGACACAAAACATTTTTGGCCGGAGCTGATTGAAAACCCATTCCAACCAGCATGCCACCGTCCTCTACAGTACTTGTACGCATCCCCTGTGATCCTTGATGGCGTCCTTGACACCATCAAAGAGAAGTGTAGAGAAAAAGATACTGTGGGTTGATCAATCTGAGAAAAATGAGGGTGGGCCAACTCGCTGGAGTGGCTACTGTTCAGTACTCGTGTCTAGTACCAGCACCGGTACGGTAGCAGGATCTTCAATCCAAGCATTCTCGAATGCCTGATGCCTGACTCCGCCGGTCTGAAGAAGCCGATTGTCTCTCTTCATCGCTCTTTTGTACCGTAAACCAACAAAAGAATCCTCATCCATAAAGTATTTAGTTGTTTTCTCTGCAAGACGATTATCACCTACTTGGTACCGGTAAGCCGAGATTTGCTTTGTACCATTCTGTTGGTTGGTAATCGTTTCGCCTTTCTCACCATCTGCCGTTTCCCACATATTTTTTCCCCACGGAAAGTCCAATTGAGAGCAGAAACAAGAGGTGGACCTAACTGATTGGAGAGAAGATTGAAGGCTCTACAAATTTCTCTTGTCCTGATCCTCAATATCTGTTTGACTTCCAAGTAAGCAAGGAAGCGACAAGCTTTTGTTTGAATACTTCTCTTCTCCCTCCCACCAAAAATATTCTCACTACCCCTTCTTTCTCTCTATTCTTGTTTTGCTTTCTCTCGGGTTTCCTGTAAAGTTGAGCTGAAGAAAAAGAAAGGGTATCAAAGACCCCATCACCTACCAAGGCATCGCATCCATCGAAACGATGAAAGGGAATCCTCCGGGAGTTTGCTTCTTCCTTGTCTGGTCAGCTTTTGTGTTCCATTTGCCAACCATCGTGGCCAAACCAGAACATAAAGCTGAACATGCCCACCCCAACACTCGAGGAGGAAACTATTTAAAGCGTCGACACTTGGCGCGGGAGTGGCTGGCACACTTTGGAGATGACGATATCTCCACTGGAAACGACAACGGTTTGGATGACGACGACGAACCGGTGATCTTTGAAGCAGAAGAATTCCCCGACGAGGACAGTAGTGAAGATCCCTTTCCATTGTTTGAAGTGGCACCATCCGCTTCTTTGGAGGATCCTTCTTTGGAGGATCCTTTCCCGGAAATGAGTCCTTCAACAGACGAGTTCCCAGCCGAGATGCCTTCTGATGAAGGACTACCCCCCAATTTCCCCGCGGAAATGCCGTCAGGCGATGAAATCATGACGGCGGTTCCCTCCCAACTCATGTCCCCAGTCCCCACCGAAGTAGCCCCAGCTCCCACCGTTGGAGCCCCAGCTCCCACGGTAGCGCAAGATCCAACTTCCCCAACACCTCCTAGTGCAGCACTACCTACCGAAGCGCCAATCAGCGGACCAGATGCCCCAATCCCACCCATTAGACCTCGCAGCTGTCCTCCACAATACGGTTGTAGTGCTATCAATGGCAAACCTGGTTCACAGGTATGCTACGCATTGACGCAAACCAGGACCTTGAACGCCTGTGCCCCAGAAGGGCTGGTGGAATCGGCACTGGAACCCCCAACTAGTTTTTGCGGGTTTTGTGCGGACGCGACACCGGCTCCTACCACCCTGGAAGAAATCTGCAATCCCATCATTTCCTGTGGACCAGTAAGCATCCTCATGTGCATTGAAAGCGCAAACATCACCACGGCAGGTTGCATCCGGCGCGACAAGGTGCCGCTTGTCATAGACAACAACGCTGGTTACTGTGGACTCTGCATGAATGTCAGGCCGCCCACAACCGTGGCTCCAGCGGCTCCCATTGCACCGTCCGCACCTGGTTTACCTTCTGTAACGCCACCCTCGCCTACGACATCATCTGCTCCAGCGCCAACACCAGCACAACCCGTGGTTGGGCCTTTGCAACCCACAACAGAACCCGTGCCTGGCCCTACCGGCCCCACAACAACTGCGAGCCCCGCAACACCCCTGCCCTCGCTTGCGCCCATCAGCACAACTGTTCAGCCCACGGTTGACCCTTTGGATGTTTGCGACCCCCGCATTGAGTGTCAAACTCTCCTCTTTGCTTCTGTGGGCAATGTTGTCTGTCTCAACGTCAATGGAACAAGGTTCAGCGCCTGCGTCGGCCCGATCTTTATCGATGCTGCGCTCAAGATTGGAGAATGTAAGTTTTTGTTTCGTTTCGTTTCGTTTTCGACTATGTTCTTGACAGACCGTCGTTTTGACACAACTTGGTTTCATCCTGCAGGTGGAGAGTGCCCGACCGAATCTCCGTCAACCTCACCCACTCAAGAAGCTACAACTGTGCTTCCGACGATGGCACCCACAACACTGGAAAGTATTTGCGATCCCTTGATATATTGTAGAGATGACCTGGAACATGTATCGTTCTGCCTTACGGACCTGGATCTGGGTGGATTTCACGGAGACCGAACAATTTGCCTACCCATACGGCTACTAGATGAAGCTCTTCCGTATGGCTACTGTGGGGAGGTAAGTGAAAGGCCCACAAGCAGCTCCAAGTTGTCGACTGCATTAATTAGCGGTTCATTGTCTTGCCTCGTAGTGTCCCGATCTCCCCACCATATTTCCCACAACAGATCCTCTTGAAAACTGTGCTCCCGCCATTGAATGCACCGGGATATTTAACTTGACGGGGATTGAGTTTTGCCTGGAAAACCCAACGTCCGGGAAACGAGCCACTGTTTGTTGCCCAACGAGGCTCGTACAAGCCGCTCTCGCGCATGGTGCGTTTTGTTGCGTAATATAACTGGGATTGCAAACGTCCGCTTGCCTCTCATGTTCGATCCTTTGTTTTCCCGTTCTAGGGCGCTGCGGTGTGTGTAGTCCGACAGCGGCACCTTCAGTGGAGCCCACGGGATCCCCAATAAGTGCCTGCCCCGACCCTATTCCTTGCGGTGAATCTAAGACAAACATACTTTATTGTATTGAGCTAGAGGCTGGCGCGGATTTTGAGGCTTGCTTGCCTCCCGACTTGGCTCCGAGAATCGTTCCGAGGTATGGTTTATGTCCCTGTGCTTCCCCACCACAAGTGCCCTGCCCTGCCTAGCTTCGCCCCCCTCACTCCTTAAACCCTCTATTTAGGTATGGTATATGTGGAGAGTGCCCCAAGCCTCCTCCACCAACGGCATCGCCAACCGGGCCCTTAGATGGTTGCCCGGTGGTGCCCCCGTCCTGCGCAATCAGTGTCGGCAACGAAATGATAGAAGGAGTGACGTTTTGCATTGTACTCGAAAGTGGAACACAAGTCGAACTGTGCGTTTTCGAAGAACAGGTTCAAGATTTGCTAGATCGCGGTAAGGCTTCCAGAGGTTGCTGGAAACACACGCCGTCGTTCCTCCATCGACTAACTTCTTTCTAATTCTCTGACTGATCACTCATTGTCTTCGTGATAATTCAACCCAAGGCTATTGCGGTCCTTGTGTAACCCCTCCCAGCGCGTCCCCAACTAATCTACCAGCTTCATCGCCGTCGGCTTTGCCATCACCAGAAGCAGCAGTTTCGCCAACACCAACTGACGAACCAACACCTAGAGGGACTAGTAGCGCACCACTGCCTTCGACCGGCCCAGGGCCAACAACAAGGCCGCCAACACTTGTTCCAACAACGAGGCCGCCAACGCCTGTTCCAACAGCAAGGCCAACTGCGCTCCCCACTCGTGCACCTGCTAGAACAATCCCAACAAATGATCCTAGCATCGCTCCAACAGATGACCCGCTGTCAGAATGCGATCCTGTTATACCCTGCAACGATGGAGAAGGTGCTGTCTTCTGTCTCACAGCTGGAAATGATGTCGAAGTCTGCATGCCGGTCAGTGCACCTGAAATGTATATCCGTTGCCTTGCTTGTTGTCATAACTCATGTTTCTCCACAGATTGATGATTTGCAAGGTGCCTTGGATGAAGAGGCAGGAGAATGTGGTCCGTGCCCAACTGACATGCCCTCCTTGGCTCCGACTTTTGCACCCACTTCTTCACCAAGCTCAAAGCCATCAATGGTCCCGACTGTAGATCCCCTTGGTGGGTGTCCCGAGGACCCTCCCGAGTGTTCCATAGACCCAGATGATGCAAAAAACAGAGTATTGTTCTGTATTGTGTTGGGCGGGCAACAACAAGAAGTTTGTGTCCTTGTGGAGTACATTCAACCCTTGGTAGATCAAGGTAATGTGAAAAGGATGTCAGAATGTTGTATAAGCGGTAGGTCTTTTGTCTCACAAGTTCTTGATACATTCATGCTAATGCTCTCTTCCTCAGAAGCTGGATTTTGTGGCCCTTGCCCACCTACCAGCATGCCTTCAAACACGCCATCAACACCCCCCCAGATCCTGCCACCGATTGGCCCTTCGCCTCCAATAACCATACCACCTGCCTTGGCTCCAGCAACTGCTCCTACTAGAAGTCCAGTTTTGGGTCCTTCCGCAGCTCCCATTGGTGGCCCAGGACAATCTCCATCGATGACTCCAGTTGATGCTCCAGGTGCCACTCCATCATTGGCTCCAGTGGTTGCCGCTCCCTCTGGCAGTCCAGCTCTGGCACCTACAGATGGCCCAGCTTTGACTCCATCATTGGCTCCAGCAGTTTCACCTACTGGTGGTCCAGGTTCTGCTCCATCTTTGGCTCCAATGGTTGCTCTGCCTACTGCAGGTCCAGCTTTCGCACCCTCCACTGCTCCAGCAGCTGATCCAACAGTAACTCCAGGTCCATCCCCATCATTGGCTCCAGTTGTTGCTATTCCTTCTGTCCGTCCAGTTCTGGCTCCAGCTGGTGCTCCTGCAATTGTCACTCCGGAAGCCAGTCCAGCTGTAGCTCCAGTGGTTCCTCCTTCTGGAAACCCAGCTCTGGGTCCTTCTGTGGCCCCAGTTGGTGGCCCAGGACAACCTCCATCGATGGCTCCAGTCGATGCTCCAGGTGCCACTCCATCATTCGCCCCTGCAGTTTTACCTACAGATTCATTCCCATCTTTGGCTCCAGTGGGTAAAGTTCCGACCGTCAGTCCAGTTTCAACTCCTACTTCTGGTCCTGGTTCTTTTCCATCTTTGTCTCCAGCAGTTACTCCATCAGTGGGCCCAGGTTCAGGTCCGTCTTTGGCGCCAGTGGTTTCTCCTACAGCAGGTCCAGGTTCAACACCATCTTCAGCTCCAGTGGTTGAAGCTCCTTCTGGCAGTCCAGCTCTAGCTCCAACTGCTTCTCCTGTGGTTGCCACACCTACTGTCAGTCCAGATCCAACAATTGTTGTACCTACTCAAAGTCCTTCTTTGTCTCCAGCCATTGCTCCCATGGGGGTACCAACTTCAGTTCCGTCATTGGTGCCAACAGCTGGTGAACTTCCACCAGAGTGCGATCCTGTTATCCCCTGTGATGACATTGAGAATGGTGTTTTGGTTTGCCTCTTTCAACCTGTAGAGCTCTGCTTACCGGTACGTGTTGAAAGCATAAACAATATGTTGTGGCTAAATCATGTGGCATGAACAACTCTGATATTAATTTGTGCAGAAAAGCTTGGTACAGGCTGCTTTGGATGCTGGCGGTGATTGTGGCCCCTGTCCAACCACAGAACCTTCCTCTGGGCCAACTGGAATGCCGACAAATGTACCATCAACCAATCCAACCAAAGGACTAACAGCAAACCCAACTACATCACCTACATTGCAACAAACCGGCAGTCCCAATATCGAGCCTTCAATGGCTCCAACTGTGGATCCCCTTACTGGGAGCCCCACTGGCACCCCATCGAGCATGCCATCACCCTCCAACCAGATCCTACCACCCTTTGCACCGTTTGTTCGACCCCCCAGACCACCTGCACTAGATCCTTCCGCAGCTCCCATTGGTGGCCCAGGACAATCTCCATCGATGGCTCCAGTTGATGCTCCAGGTGCCACTCCATCATTGGCTCCAGTGGTTGCCGCTCCCTCTGGCAGTCCAGCTCTGGCACCTACAGATGGCCCAGCTTTGACTCCATCGTTGGCTCCAGCAGTTTCACCTACTGGTGGTCCAGGTTCTGCTCCATCTTTGGCTCCAGTGGTTGCTCTGCCTACTGCAGGTCCAGCTTTCGCACCCTCCACTGCTCCAGCAGCTGATCCAACAGTAACTCCAGGTCCATCCCCATCATTGGCTCCAGTTGTTGCTATTCCTTCTGTCCGTCCAGTTCTGGCTCCAGCTGGTGCTCCTGCAATTGTCACTCCGGAAGCCAGTCCAGCTGTAGCTCCAGTGGTTCCTCCTTCTGGAAACCCAGCTCTGGGTCCTTCTGTGGCCCCAGTTGGTGGCCCAGGACAACCTCCATCGATGGCTCCAGTCGATGCTCCAGGTGTAACGCCATCATTGGCGCCAGTGATTGCTCCCACAGCTGCACCGACTTCCACGCCATCATTGGTACCAACAGTGAATCCAATTCCTCCAGAATGCAATCCTGTAATACCTTGCGATGATGATCGTGCGATCTTTTGTCTTGACATTGGTAACCTGAATGGTAGGTTATCAATATTATTCAACCATGTAAACCCTCCTTTGCACCATGTATCACAACCTCTCTGTCTCACACACACATTGATTTTTCTATCAAGTTGAGTTGTGCGTGCTCATTAGCAACCTCAATAATTTGCTGGATATAAGTAAGACCTCAGTGCCTTGAACATGATCCGGTTAAGGAAAGATGCTAACTTTTGATCTGCCTGTTTCCAGATGCTGGGAATTGTGGTCCATGTGTTTCAAGTCCCACAACAGCTCCTGTCACTACAGCAGGACCAACAATGCCAAGTGCATCACCCGTAGTGTCTACAGGCCTTCCTACTGCAACCTTTGCCCCAACAGTGTCACCAGTGGCAACATCATCACCCATAGATGGACCAACACAGGATCCAGCCTCTCTGCCAACAGGAGTACCAACGAGTGTTGTCCCAAGCATTTCACCAGTTGCAACAGCTTCACCCACAGCTGGAGTTGACACACCAACAGGGGATCCCGCATCACTCCCAACTAAAGAACCAACTGCTGGTGGACCCACCTTTTCACCAGTTGCAACAGCTTCACCTACAGCTGGTGGTACCATTGACAGACCAACAGAGGACCCAGCCTCTCTTCCAACAAAAGAACCAACTGCTGGTGGACCCACCTTTTCACCAGTTGCAACAGCTTCACCTACAGCTGGTGGAACACCTCCTGAAATCTCCCCTACTGTAAGCCCCACTGGTGAAGGGCTCAGCCCCACAACATCACCAACAGGTGCTCTGGAGTGTGATCCAGTAATTCCCTGCGATGACGACAAGATCCTGTTTTGTTTACAGCCAGAAGGCGGTTCAGGTAATGCAGAGATCTGCTTACCGGTAAGTTAAAGGTTTATATTGTTTGCTTTCTTTGGAATATGACCAGTTACTGACTCTGTGCTAGATTGAAGATGTCCAAGAAGCATTAGAGAATGGATTCTGTGGACCTTGCCCAACAGAAGCACCAACCAAAACCCCAACTACTGTGCCTACCATTCCGGAGGACTGTCCGGAAGACTGTGATTGCATTGAATGTACTGATGCCACATACAACCCCGATGGAACTAAAACAATCTGCGTAACTCAAACCTGCAAGGACGAATCCATTAGTTGGATGTGTTGTATTGATGTCTCCCCCTCTGGTCAGTGCAACGTGGATGACTGCAGAGGAGGTGAAGGCCCTGATGGACCCAAATGTGAGGAGGTGACAGAATTCTGTATGACATTGGACGAGAATGCCACAAGCGTCACTATCCAAGCTCACGATGGCCAGTTTGGTGGAAACGAAGATAAGGATCCATCATGTGGCGGGGGTGGCAGTGGTAGCAGATGTCCTGGTGTAACTGGAATCTGCTCCACCGAAGTTGATCTGTCCCAGTGCCCTGGTACACGGCCACCAACATCTCCACCTCCGACAACTCTTCCACCAACCTCTGAAATACCGTCTTCAGTTCCGTCATCAAGACCCACGATTGACCCACTAAAGGTGCGCTACTCTCCTGCCTCTAGAGGTCTTGTGGGAAAACAGGCATCTCACATTCTGTGCCACTATAGGACTGTGTCCCAATCATTGAGTGTACTCCTGATGATCCATCATACGAAGAAGGAGTGGTAAGCCTTTTTTGTGACCCAGTTTAGTTTCTGGATTCGAGTCTTTCTCAGCACTTGCCATTACTTGTTAGATAATGTGTCTTGAGAGTTTCGAAGGGACAGTTTGTGTACCTGATGATTTTGTCCAAGATGCCTTGGAACAAGGTAAGTGGCAACACAGCCAGTGAAACAATCAAAAGGGTGGTTGTATACTTTGATCAACTAAACTGCAAATTTTCTCGACAAATACAAAGGTTTTTGTGGAGAGGTATGTTACTTGTTTCCGGTTGCACTGTTACTTGGATTTGTTCAGACTATTCCCATGTGTTTCTCAATCATTCATGGTGCACTCCCTTACTACACTGTAGTGCCCTCCATCCACACAGCCAACTGGCACCCCTTCTTCATTGCCAACAGGAGCACCTTCTTCAAATCCACCGACAAATGTGCCTTCTTCCGCACCATCAGGGACACCAACATTGACACCTACTACAATGCAGCCAAGCAATGAACCTACAAACTTCCCCACAACAGAAGAACCATCAACTCTACCCAGCACCGCTCCAACCAAATCCCCAACAACCATCCCGCCAACAACAGATACACCTACTACTCGAAAGCCAACAGTCTCTCCAACTACGAACCCAACTGTTGACCCAACAGAAAGTCCTACTGCTGGCCCAACTGGTTTTCCAACTGCCAATCCAACTGCCTCCCCAACCGATACTCCAACAGCCAGACCATCATCTTTTCCAACAGAATCTCCCACAACTATGGCACCTTCAAGTGGACCAACCAGTTCTCCCACAGAAGTACCAACTCAACAACCCACAGAAGATCCACTAGCTGGCTGTCCAGAAGGGACAGTCGAACGATGCTCCGATGATGAGGTCGATGATGGCATCATTATGTGCTTTGAGCCTGATCCTGCAGACTTTGAAGAAATATGTGTCCCAGTTGTTTATGTTCCAATCGTCTTGGACGACGAAATAGCTGAATGCGGTAAGGTCACTTGGCATTCAATCCACCAAAATTGATGGACACTCAAAATTAAAATTTCTTTCTTCCCCTTTGCACAGGCCCTTGTCCTACATATCCACCTACAGAAATGCCATCTGAAGGCCCCTCCATGAGCCCCACTACAGCAGCCCCGACAAATCCACCTACAAAAACCCCAACAGACCCCCCTACTCCTTCACCAACAGAGGATCCAACAATCAACACAGATCTCCTCCCCTTTTTTCCTCCCTCTCTTCCTCTCTCCCCTTCTCTTTCCCCCTCTTCCTCTTAACAGAATCCACCTACTGCCCACTCACCTTACGGCCAAGGCCCTCACAACAATCCCACTCGCTCCCTGCACTTCCACCAACCCTTCTTCCTACTACTATACAACCCACCACAACATCACCTACTCCGGCACCAAATCCTACCACCATGACACCTGCCCCCACCACTGATTGCCCTGAGACTTGTGATTGCTTTGAGTGCACTTCAATCACTTTCAATCCAGATGACGGCACCAAAACGGTTTGTATTACTCAGAGTTGCAAGGATTCACCCATCAGCTGGATGTGCTGCACTGAACCTGGTTGTGAAGTTCAAGACTGTGTTGGAGGTGGCAGTCCTGATAGACAAAAGTGTGAGGGCGTTGATGAGTTTTGTGTCACAGTAGATGAGGATGTTGAGACCATCAGTGTTCAGGCACATGATGGCCAATTTGGAGGAAATGAAGAAGTTGATTCAGATAGCTGTGGGGGAGGAGGTGGTGGTAATGGCAACTCCAATGGGAACGGGAACAATGGAAACAGCAACGGAAATTCCAATGGCAGAGGTCCCATTAATAGACAGGGAAGCAGATGTGGAACTACAGGAGTATGTAACAGCGAAGTTGACCTTGGTCAATGCCCTGGTACTCAACCAATGCCAAGCTTCTCTCCATCTTCCATGCCAAACTTGCTGATATCATCACAGCCTACTCTTGATGGCCCAACACTTGCTCCTACTTCAGGTGAATGCCCTGAATCCTGTGATTGCATGGAATGTACATCTCTTACAGAGAATGAGGATGGTACCTTAACCGTGTGCATCAGCCAGAGCTGCAAAGATGAAGCCATCAGCTGGATGTGCTGCATTGGTGCATACCCATTCGATGGATGCACTGTGGACGACTGCAGAGGAGGCGAAGGCCCCGATGGACCCAAATGTGACGAGGTGACAGAATTCTGCATGATTGTCCCTGGGAACACCGAAGGGGTTTCAATTCAGGCTCATGATGGGCAATTTGGAGGGAATGAAGACAAAAATAGCTTGTGCGGAGGACCCGGGAGTGGAAGTAGCTGCCCGGGTGTGACAGGGATCTGTTCCACTGATGTTCGGCTGGATGGATGTCCCAGTCTTCCAACTGCTCCTACGGCAATACAGCCATCTGCAGTTCCATCAGCACCAATAGCAATGCAGCCATCTGCAGTTCCTTCAGCGCTAATATCATCTGAACCCACCATTGGTGGCACCACCCTTGCTCCTTCATATGGTGATTGCCCTGAGACCTGTAATTGCTTTGAGTGCACTTCAATCACTTTCAATCCAGATGACGGCACCAAAACGGTTTGTATTACTCAGAGTTGCAAGGATTCACCCATCAGCTGGATGTGCTGCACTGAACCTGGATGTGAAGTTCAAGACTGTGTAGGAGGTGGCAGTCCTGATAGACAAAAGTGTGAGGGTGTTGATGAGTTTTGTGTCACAGTAGATGATGATGTTGAAACCGTCAGTGTCCAGGCACATGATGGCCAGTTTGGAGGAAATGAAGATGTTAATCGAGACAGTTGTGGGGGTGGGCAAGGGGGTGGCCCTGGCAGCAGCTGTCAAACTTCTGGAGTGTGCAATAGTGATGTTGACCTTGGTCTATGCCCTGGTACTCAACCAATGCCAAGCTTCTCTCCCTCACTAAGGCCGACCTTATTGCCATCTTCAATACCATCATCCATGCCATCATCGCAACCCACTGCTGGTGGCACCACTCTTGCTCCTTCCTATGGTGAATGTCCTGAGACCTGCAACTGCTTTGAGTGCACCTCAATCACCTTCAATCCAGATGAAGGCACCAAAACAGTCTGTATTACACAGAGCTGCAAGGATTCACCCATCAGCTGGATGTGCTGCACTGAACCTGGTTGTGAAGTTCAAGACTGTGTGGGAGGTGGCAGTCCTGATAGACAAAAGTGTGAGGGTGTTGATGAATTTTGTGTCACAGTAGATGAGGATGTTGAGACAATTAGCGTCCAGGCACATGATGGCCAATTTGGAGGAAATGAAGAAGTTGATTCAGATAGCTGTGGGGGAGGAGGTGGTAGCAATGGCAACAGCAACGGAAATTCCAATCGCAGAGGACCAATCAATAGACAGGGAAGCAGATGTGGCACTTCAGGAGTATGTAACAGTGAAGTTGACCTTGGCCAATGCCCTGGTACTCAACCAATGCCAAGCTTCTCTCCCTCACTAAGGCCAACCCTACCAGCATTACTATCTTCGATACCATCCTCCTTGCCATCATCACCGCCCACTGCGGATGGAACAATGATACCTTCCTCCTTGCCATCATCAAAGCCCACTGCAGTTGGGACAACGATACCATCCTCGTTGCCAACATCACAGCCTTCTGCGGGTGAAACAACTCTTGCTCCTTCATCTGGCCAATGCCCTGAAACCTGTAATTGCTTTGGGTGCACTTCAATCAATTTCAATCCAGATGTCGGCACCAAAACGATCTGTATTACTCAGAGTTGCAAGGATTCACCCATCAGCTGGATGTGCTGCACTGAACCTGGTTGTGAAGTTCAAGACTGTGTGGGAGGTGGCAGTCCGGATAGACAAAAGTGTGAGGGTGTTGATGAGTTTTGTGTCACAGTAGATGAGGATGTTGAGACCGTCCGTGTCCAGGCACATGATGGCCAGTTTGGAGGAAATGAAGATGTTAATCGAGACAGTTGTGGGGAAGGGCAAGGGGGTGGCCCTGGCAGCAGCTGTGGAACGACAGGAGTATGCAACAGCGAAGTTGACCTCGATGGATGCCCTGTTGCTACAATTCAACCAATTCCAAGTGCATTGCCATCTTTAATGCCTACTTTGGGGCCTTCTTCTATTGATGGGGGTGATTTTGTTTGCTCCAGACCATCTGACTGTGCTGGTACCTCTTGTCAGTTTCAATGTAATGCTCCTCTTGGTTACTATCCAGACCCCTCAGACTGTCAGGCTTACTGCTACTGCACTGGTGGTGAGCAGCCGTCCAGGTGGGAACAAGTTATTTCAGGGCTTGTGTGGGATCCTTACTGTGGTGGGTCGCAGCCACTAGATGAAGAAAATGTTCCCCTTGGGTAAGCCTGTGAAAGCATGGTACCACAATTGCCGAAACTCTTCTTACAATTTCACTTGTACCTTCTGTTTGCAATGAATAGTGGAATGACAGGTGGCTGTGCGAACTGGCCTGATGGTGTCAACTTAGACCACTGTGATCTTGTTTTGCCACCGCCACCTGCAGAACCCAGTGCAGCTCCATCAATCTCGGATCCACTGGAAGGTTGCAGCCCCGTTGAGACCTGTGGGGATGATTCTGTTCTAATGTGCATTTACTTGCCAGATGATCAATTTTACACTGAATGTGTGCCCATTGACTCGGTCCAAGCTGTTCTAGATCATGATCCCAGAGACACATGTGGAGAATGCCCTCCACTCCCGCCCACTGTAGCACCCACCATTGGGTTCTCTTGTGAAGGAAACAGATGTGCAGAAAATGACTTTGTTTATGTTTGCCAGGATAGAGAGACTTTTTGTGTCTCTCAAGAGGATGCCGAAGGACTGCTCTTGGATAGTTCTGCAAGCTGTGGACCTTGCAGTATTTTTGATTGTGACCTATCTCATTTTGCCTGTGACAATGATAGTGTGGAGATCTGTCATGTGTAAGTGAACTGTTTGATTGTGCACTGGCTTCAATCGCTTGGATGGAATGCAGCCTCAAGTTTGAATCGCCTTTTCCTATATTATTGTCTCACTATTGCACAGCCAAAGCGATTCATTGAACTCGCTTTGTGTAACCACAAATGCTTTGTCTGGATTCCAGGGTGGATGCGACTATTGTGGTCAATGCCAGAGTGAACTTCCTCCTGTAAGTATGCAACACTGTAGAGCTGTGTGCACAAGGGCTCTACTTTTCTTAACTGTTCACCTTAACTTTTGCGTTTTTTTCTCCAGGACTGTGAGGGAGCTGACGATGAAACACCTGTACCTTCTGCAGACCAAAGTACTACAGTGGCTCCATCCACACTTGCGCCAACGACGCAAATACCAACAACAATGTCTAGCACAACAGAAGCGCCCACAACAGCCACAACCACAACAGAACCTACGTCAGCTGCTCCCACAGTACCACCTTCAAAAGGTGCTACCTCTGAACCAACATTACAGCCATCCAGCCAACCTTCTGTGCAGCCAACAATGACAACTGCCACTCCAGTGCCAACCACTCAGCAGCCATCAAATCAACCAACTCAGCGGCCAACCATTGGTTCCACACCAGAACCAACCAATCTGCCAACAGCCCAACCAACAGTTCAGGCGACACCAGAGCCTACGAATCTACCAACGGCCCAACCAACAGAGCTGGCTACTCCAGAGCCTACACTCCAACCAACAGAACAACCCACACCCGAACCAACTCCCCTTCCCACTGAAGAGCCAACGGATGATCCTACTCCAGTCCCGACCAATGACCCAACGGATGAGCCGACCGATGCACCAACTCAGCAACCGACTGGTGAGCCAACGGAGAATCCAACTCCAGAACCGACCGACGAACCAACTCAAGAGCCCACAGACGAACCAACGGATGAACCCACACAAGAGCCAACCGATGATCCAACTCCAGAACCGACCGACGAACCAACAGAGAGTCCTGCAGATGATGAAGTCAGATCCATACATCAGCTCCAAAACTATGCAAAGCGCCCAATCAAGCTAGCTGCAGGACTGGTGCCGTAGGTCTAGTAGAGGTAGACTCCATTGTTTCCTACTTGCTAGTCCAGTGGTTGAGAAATATGTTCTCAATAGTTCAAGTGCTACTCTACTTGTAAGCATGTCCCGGGGCAGGGGGGGGGGGGGGGGGGTACAGTGTTCCTTCCTGTTAAGAAACACAATTGCTCGCTTTTTCGAAAGCTCTCCAAATAGATAAAGTTGTCATTAGCTCTCATTTCTATCATAGGATTTCCAGGGAATTTGGAACCTCTGGAGGGGCTCCGGTAATCCCCAGATGACGTCACGATAAACCCCAAAGTTTGGCGAGTCGCGAGAAGTCGCGATTAGTCGCTTAAAGTCGCGCGATTCCACACGGATTCTCGAACGAGTCTTCACGACTCCACGCGACTCCACGCGACTCCTTGCGACTCACTTCTTAAGTACTTGTATTTATCTCGATATAGTGTCGCGACTCCACGCGACTCCACGCGACTCCACGCGTCTCTACGCGACTTTATACGCGTTTGCGCGCGACTGCTTGCGATTGCACACCACTGTGGTCGCGACTGCACTCGCGCGACTGCTATTTCGGGTGGGATCGCCAAAAGGCCCCTAAACCGGTGGCCCTCCTGAACCCATCATCCAATCTCGAAAGCATGCCTCACCATTGACTTCCACTGTCTCAAATAGTTGGCTAGCCATTGGCTTTTTGCTAACCATCAATGGAGGGACAGGTATGGTTCCTCGATGAATGATTCGGCAGTGCCAACCAACCCACCTTTTGAGTTGTTTTGGTTAGCAGCACAGCATACATGCAGCAGCAACAACAACACATGCCACCATGGACAACAGCAATAGAAAGCAACAACTCCTCTTTGAGGAAGCTAGACCAGCACGGTCATTTCGGTGGTCTAGCTTGGAATCGGCAAGGTCTCAATACAGGATGTTCTGCAAAAGGTTGATCTGATTGAGGGCATTGATGCCGCCCAAAGGGTATCCACCACCATTGTCCGGCCCTGTAAAGAAAAGTTACCATTCAAAGTGACGAAGAGCCAGTAACAATGTACACCGGATGTTGCAGTGGAAGACGTGGGAATCAACGACAGAACCACCAAAACCTACCTGTGCCATAGTGGAAACAGAGCCATTCTTGTCTGGACTCATTGAGGGCAGTTGTGTTTTCAATGGGTGTGGCCAACTCCCTTCAGTTGAAGTTTGTCGCAGTTGGTGTTGCAACTACGTCGGTACTCGAGTGTACACCGTGTAACCCAATGTTTAGGTCTAGGAGGCAGTGCAGTGACAAAGAGAACAACGTTGAGGAAGTCGGATGCGCAAGGCGATGCGAATGTTGACTTTCTTGAAGTAAATGTCAAATTCGTACTTGCCTTGTGGCAAGTGGAGATAGTGGAACGGAAGCAGCACGGCTCCAAAGCTTCTTGTCCCTTCCTGGTGCAAACTCAATGGAAAGCAGAACATTCTCCCAGATAGAGCGACAGGTGGCTTCTTATGTGGATTACATAGTGGAGGGCACCTACACAAGAACCTCATGCATGGAGAGATAAGACAAGTGATAAGACTCACGTACCAGGTACCGGTACATTGGCAGAGAAGAAGAGTTGGGACTAAAAACTCTACTTCATATATGAACTTCCTCAGGGCTCCCAACATCCACAGACTCTTAGTAGGAAGACTAACTTCTGTTTCTTATAGGTTTGCTTGATTATTTGTTACATTGGCCTGGTGAAAAGTCTTACTCGAGTACCGGCAGGTAGGGGGATTAGCAGAGAGGACACACTAGCTAGCTGGGCATCTATTCAATTCATATTCTTCGGTGCCCTCTCATAGCAAAAGCAGCCAAACTGCCTTTTTTTAAGACCAATATGACTTGAATCGAGAGTACATGGAATCATGGTTGCTGTCGTTGTTCATGCCTGCCTGCGGATCCCTTGCAGACGGACTGCGAGGGGACGCAGGACTGGGGGCGCCGGAACCACCAAAGTCGTCCCCTTCCGCTTCGTCTGCAATTCGTAGAATATCTTCCACAAGCCTAGTGTCCCGGCATCTCTCTGAAGCAAGTTCGACGATCATACCAAGAGCCTTTTGATACGTCAACCTAGAGCGAACCTCCGCGATGTAGGTGGCCTGTTTCATCTTCAGCTCTTCTTTCAACTCAACCTGCGTCACGTTCATTCGCTGAATCGTCTGACGGTACTGGTTACAGTCAGCCGACAGCTTGGCATTTGTCTTTGTAAGTTGCTTGGCATGCTGGTTCAATGCCGCAAAGGAAGCTCCGGCAGAGGCATTGGCGTCCATCAGCCGTTGGTTGTTGTCTTTGACGAGCTCGAAGTCAGCTCGGATTTGGTTGTTTTGGTTTCTTAACTTGAAAACTTCCTTTCGAAGGTACTCAAGCATCTTTCCGCTCTCATCCATCAGATTTTGTTGTTGGGCAGTGAGGTTCACCACCGTGGCCGAAACAGAAGGCGCCACTTGAGATGGAACGTTGTTGGCAATCTCATCTACCTTGAGGGACGCTGCTTCGGAAGGAACGGATGGCACTGGTGAGGATACACTTGCCGTCTCTTCCGTAGCTGGGCCAGCTGAAGGCCCAGCAGATGCCACAGACGCAACAGATGGGTCAGTGGCCGCCGTTGGGTCCATCTTCTTCTCTTCTACAATGGTACTCTCTCGATACTCCTGCACTGCTTTCTGGGCCTTTTCTTCTGCTTTCTTTTCCGCCTCGATGCGCTTCTGTTCGGCTTCTTCCAACTTGCGTTGCAACGCCCGGAGTTGATTTTCCAGTTTGGCTTCTTCGCGTTTCTCATGCAGCGCTAGTCGAAACTTGGGTCTTTGCAGGGAGCCGCGAGTCATCGTTTGAATCGCCACGGCGGCCTTGAGATGAATCTTCAAGTTGGTGATGGCGACACCCATGCGCCAATGCGTTTGGATCATAGTTGCTCTGTAATTCCGGCGCTTGACAACCAGTAGCCTGGCCGCAAAGATACAACGAATCCAGCACTGGGTACGGATGGATGCGGCTCGCATCCTGCGGTAGTTGCGAAGCGCGATTTTCATCCTGACTTGTGCCTCTAGGAAAATCATGCCAGCCTTGATCTTCTTGTACTTGGATTTCTGCGTGAAACCTCGAACCACGCGTTGGATTTCCAATGCCCACACACTCAGAAATTTCAAACGCTCCGCTTCCATGAACTCGAGGGAACCCGCTCGAAAGTACGCCCGAGATTTTCCAATCACAAAGGCCCTAACGATTTGGCCCTTCTTTTCTGATGCTAATTCCTTCAGGGCGTGTTCTAGAAGCTTCTCGACCAGGAATTTGGGCTGTTCGTCAAATTCATACTCGGCGAGGACCTGTTCGCTCGGGTAGACACCTTTGCCCCACAACGATTTGAATCGTTCCAATACAATTTCATGCTCCAGACGATTGGGGAATGCTGAGCGCGAAATGGTGACTGCTGCCACAACACCGGCACAGCGGAGCTGCTCAATCGTGGAAAGATGCTCCATCTCAAGCGGAAGTTTCACCTGGTTGGGTTTGATGCAGCGGATGTATCGTGAGCGTGTTGTGTCGAGGCTCGTCATCAAATTTGTTAGCTGACCCCGGAACTTGGTCCAAACAGAGTCTGCGGCAATGCTTCCCCTTCTATTCGCGTTCCGCTTAGCTTTTTGGTTTGTCGGGGGACGTTTCGAGGCTCTACGCTTTTTTACTTCGACATTCATCATTCCGTCGTTCTTCAGAGCGTTTGCAAGAATGTCATTGGTGCTCTTGAATGCACAGTCTTCCAAGTCCGATGGGAGAGTGTCCATATTTTTGGTGACAAAGTTTGTTGCATCGTAAACTACCTTCCCAGCATAATGGACGATACCAAATTCAGTGTCAGACCAAGCCTTTTCCCTGTACCAGCAAGGACTGTCTTTGTTCATCGAATCGACTTTGGAGACGAACGATTTGTCGGATCCCTAATGGTTGAATGAAAGACGATGGAGTCAGCAGGCTACTTTCAATAATCGAAAGAAGAAGAAAATGTTTCCCAATCACGCTTCCTACCTTTGGTCGAACGCCTTCTTCGTTCAAAAACGACAAAAGACCCATTCTTCCTTCGACCAGATCCAGCACATCCGTGTTGTCGTCGTAGGTGATTTCACCCAACTCAATCCCTTCGTACTCGTATTCGGCTTGCACCGACCGGAAGATATCTTGCGTGAACTTTTGTTGCAACTTTTCGTTGGCGTAGTTGATGCATAACTGTTCGAATCGGTTGACTTCAAAGGACTCGAAACCAAAAATGTCGAGCAGCCCAATGATTCCAAAGCCATCCTTTTTATCACCATCATAATTCCGTTCCGCGCAGGTGGCATCATTGATTTGTCGCACAAGCCACAAAAAAGTCTTGGCATAAATCTCCTTGGCAAATGCGTCAGTGGAATCACGAGCCTTTTCCGAATTGAGTGGTACCTTGTATTCCTCTCCACGGGCTCGCACAGTACGCAAGGTCAGCGCCGCAATCAAGTCTTTTTGTGCTACACCCATGAGTTCCGACAAACCATCCAACTCATCTGTCGCAGTTATTTCCGTCTTGTCGTCATCGCGTTGGTCCGGTTCAAAGACTAGATTTCCCAGCTGCAGTACGATGCAGATTGCCCGCATGAGCATTTTCAACGAATCACCCTGGACGCCCACGAGTGCCAACGAGTCGACCGTGTGCTGGAAGCGTTCTTCGTCCGACAATCCTTCAATGGCTTCGGTTTCTGTAAATCCCACGTAACTGTAGGACTCATTGTCGGTATCTTCCAGTCCAGCCCATATTTCGGCTTTGATTGCTTCGGGTGCATTTAGCAGTTGATAAAAAATATGAAAGGTCCGTTCCTCTTCTTCGTGACTGACAACACGGTTCTTTTCAAGCAAGTACACTTCTACTTTGGATCCAGCCAAGACACAACCGGGCAACTGTTTTCCACATCGCGCTGCCGCCTCTGGATCTTCTCCATGGAACTGTAGCTGAATATATTTTCCAAATCGACTGGAATTATCGTTCCGAAGCGTTTTGGCGTTTCCAAAAGCCTCGAGTAGTGGATTGGAATCCAGGACACGCTGGACAATGACCGAAGTGGATTGAGTAGGAGGAGGCGCCTTGTTGCTGTTGGGATCGCCCATGAGGGATGGTTTCTTCTTTTTCATGAGATCGCTGCTACTATTGGGTTTGGACGCAAATGTTTGTGCATCCCGTTGAACACTGGCCAAGTCATTCATGAGAATTTTGACAGTTTCTGTTTTTCCAGCTCCCGACTCTCCCGATACCAGAATGGATTGGTCATCTCCGTCTACGGCCAAGCCACGGTATGCCAAGGAGGATGCTTCGTAGACATGTGGTTCAATTTTGGATCTTGGATCTCCTCCATCGTTGTCATCGTAGCTATTGTTGAATACGAGTGCGCTGGCGTATTCGTGCCTTAACTCTTCCGTGTATAGATCGAGTAGCCACTTGTAGGGATTTACGGCAATGACAATATCCCCCGTTCTTGTGTAGGGTTTGCTGTCTACATGACGTGCTTTGAGATTGTACATAATGGCGGCCTGATTTATTGATTGATCAATACACATTCATTCGAAATGAGAAAAATGGTGAGTAGACAAGCTTCTTTTCTTGCTTGTAATATTTATTTTTGTTTGAATCAACTTACCTCATGTAAAAAGGACAAATCGACCATATCCTCTACTTCCTTCAAGTATCCTTTCTCGTCGACATTCTGCAATGGCAATGCTCGATTGGGATAGTCACTCAATTTGACCGTGTCTTTTCGGAATCGTTTGGCCCGTCGTCCTCCATCGGATTGAATGCTCTTTTCGTCCTTGTATTCCGGAATGACGACATGAGCCAATCCATCGTCGTCCGTCTTTTCGACACGAGCTGGAATCCACGCATACTGGTCGTCGCGAATGTACACGTGATTGGTTGTCTCAAGGGATGGATCGGTGGTGGTGACCAAACTGGTCAACAAGTCACTCTTATAGCTGGTACTAGTAGTACTTTTGGGGGACGTTGTACTTTTCGGAGACGCAGTTGTTGTGTCTTGCTTAGCGGGCGCTTCTTCTTCTTCTGCTTCTTCTTCTACGACTTCTTGTACTGCTTCTTCTTCTTTTGGTTTGGCAGGTGAAGGCTCGTTGTTGGATTTGGCGGGCGAAGGATCATTATTGGGTTTGGTAGGTGTAGGCTCGTTGTTGGGTTTGGTAGGTGTGGGCTCGTTGCTGGCTTCACCACTTGCCGCACTGGCTTCACTGACTACACTGCTTGCCGCACTGTCTGCACTGCTAGCCGTGCTGACAGCTGGAGTGGAAGCTGATGGCTGCTCCACCGCCATGGCCGTATTGGGAGTTGGAGGAGGATCTCTCACCACAGAGTCCTCGTCATCTGTGGGAGGATCCATAGTCGGAGGATCCATAGGAGGATCCATATTAAACTCTCGACGAAAACTTGACAAGAGGCGTGGGAAGTGTGGCTGCTTGTTTCTTTCTTTAGAGAAGCAAATCACGCACGAATCAAAAATTCCAAGGACTGTGACCTTCCTCTCTGAAAACCAACGCAACTGTCTTGTCTCTGTATTTCACACTCCTCTCTCTTTGTGGCACTGTTGCGATTACTACAGTGTACAACGTAACAGAAGAAAAGCAACAAGAGCAGCAATGCCGTCAACAGACAACCACAACGACAAGAAATCACAAACGAATGAGGGTCGGTGCAAAATTTTTTGAATTCCTCTTTTCTGTCTCCGACAAACGTCGCATGTTGTGACGTGGCGCATTTATGCCGAAATTTGGGAAAATTGGACAAATGTTTCTTTTGTTTTTTCGAAAACGAAAAAGATCTCCACCATTCGGAACTTCAACAGTGTCACCGTGTGTCACCGTGTCACCGCACCGTGGGAACTCTCCACTACCGTACTACTAACGACTATGGTACCATCGTAGTTGACGACAGGCGGGAGAGCTGTTGCAGCAGTACAGTATGTAGCACCAGCATTAGCTAGCCAGCTGGCTGGCTGGCATGGCCTATGCATCCAAGGCAGTACGGTGCGGTCTGGAAAGCTGTCAAGTCGGAGTCACAAATTTACACCTGGAATACATGTAATTTTCTTTCTTGGTTCAGCTCGGATAAAGGATCTGAATCATGAAAGCTGTCATGAATAAGGACGGAAGCTGGCAACCTACCTGCTGGTAAAGCAATGGATGACAAAGCTGTCTAGTGCCCCCCACAGCTTGAAAAAATCCCACACCTCTAGAGAACAAGCTGATGCACCAGCCAACCACACTCGATTGGTTGTGTGAAGCAAGTCTACCCATGCATAGAGACGAGCTTGAAGACAACTGCAGAACTGTCTCTTGGCTGCCATAGCTGGCCACCCAGAGCTGCAGTGCCTTATGAAACGGTAGGCAGCACTTACATGTACCGGTACCATGGTACAGGTACCGGTACATCATGATCTGAGCTCTGTTCGTGCACCTCTCAACAGCATGAGCTGGCTTCCAACCGAAGATCCACGATCCACCATGTCAAAATTGCATGCCGAAATGCGAAAGTCTTTCGATATTTCTGTGATAAAGACCGCGGTCAGGTTGGATGTTGCCAGATGTTGTCTATGTTGTCTTGATCAACCAGAGCTCCTCGTTGATTGATCGATTGATTGCAACATACCATGTCCAAACGGTTGCCCGGCATCCTTCTCTTCTTGGTAGTGGTAGTGCTATGTGTGTTCTTTCAGAGTCGGTACCTTGCAGTGCTACTGCAACAGCAGGAGCTGATTTCGCCACCTGCAGACCTCATGCTGTCCGTCAATCAGTGGGTGGATTGCATGGGAGCAAATGGGTCTCATCAGGGCAACACGGTCCAACCAAAAACAAAAGAAGTGGAGGGTGTGGTCGTTTTGGATATGCTGGGGTTTCTGGGAAACAATATTTTTGAAATTGGGTTTGCCAACCGAGTGGCAATGGAACTGAATTGGAAAATAGCGTACCGAAGTGGTTGGCGGTCTCCCTTTTTTGTCGACCCCAAGGCGGAAGAGTGCTATCCTCATGCCTTTTTGACGAATTCTAATTCTACGGATATCTATGAAAACCATCCAGTGTTCCAGGGCACTGGCATTGGAATGGATCCGAGCTCCAACGTTCAGCTCGAGGCTTGGCTGGACAAATTCAAGAATCAAACGCAAACAGATTCCATGCCATCTCTTCAACAACCTGCTGTTGTACAGTCGTGCCGGCACAGGAGCTGCAACTTTGCCCATGTTCCAACCTATGTGGAACCACTGAAAAACTCTACTATCAAAGTGCTGTTCTTGCATGCCTTTTTTATTCATGGAGGATGGCTGGAAGAAGAAAAATGGCGACACAAAATGAGCCACTGGTTCGCACCCATGGCAAAATGCTGCCCTTCTCCCATGCCGCCGGAAAATGCTATTGTCATTCACATTCGGGATTTTGAAAGTGACCCCGACAAGAAAATTGCGCACAAGCTGCGATCCGTCCAACCCAGTGTGTACTTGGAAATTATGAAAAGCTACAATCTACTGGACCCAGATCGACCCGTGTGGGTTGTCTGTCAGCCTTCCAGTGTCGATTCCAAAATGGTTCAGGGATTAAAGGAGCTACTACAACCACCATTCATCAAAGAGTTCCGGATCATGACGGGTGTTGATGCCTATGATGCCTTTTGCATTCTACAGAGGGCAAAGACACTACTCATGTCCTATGGCAGCACATTTTCTCAAGCCGCAGCTTTGTCATCCATGTATCCCGATCCTGCTGTCCATGTGCCCTTTGTGCCCATGACGGGTGGTGTGTCGGATGCAACCGCCTACATTCCGACATGGAAATATCATTATGTGGAGGAAACCAACAAGGATTCCATCAAGGAGTACGAAGCTCCCAAGGAAAGATTCCGTTGGCGTTTGGACTGAACAGCCGAGTACCGGTAGCGACAAACGTTATGTGAAGGTCCTGTACCTGGTAGAGGGTCTCTTTGAGAAAGCTACGATGGAACAGAAATTTGTGAGCGTTGACCTCGTTGTCCCCGCGGACGTGCGTTTGGTCCAAATTGACAATCATGAATGCGGACAGCAGAAGCGCCGCACTCCTCGCGCTACGCCCATGACGAGCAATGTCTCAAGCATTCCAGCTTAGCTATCGGGTCCTGGCTAAGTAACCCCAGGTTCATTAATGTCAACACGATTCTTCTTGTAGTTCCATAATATTAGTCCTTAATTAACATTATGATCGGATGTTTCAGTGAAGCAGCAATCGAAATCCCCACACATCTTCTTGGTCCCTAGTCGTTCATTGTCGAAGTAACAGTCGACAAAGTCATCGGCACCGTTCGTGTGGGACCGATAAAACTATGGCAAGCAGCCCTGTGGGACTGCACCGAAGGCCAATTTTGCGCTGCGATTCAGTCACATTTCAAGGGCACGATCTCGATCGAGGCAATACAAGGCATAAGTGTCAATGAAATCCAGGGGTTGACGGCCGATTACTCTACTATACTCGGAATGGTATCTTTTGTCCTGCAAGTTACTTTGTCGGAGGATTGCAATCAACAGTGGTGTTGGAGCACAGGATGACCAGTAAATCGGCATCTTCGCCCAACTTCGCCCAACATTGCAACAGAAATATATGCCGAAAACATCATGAGCCACAACCATGCAGCCCTGTGGGGCGCTACATTTCCTGTTATGTTGTACCAGAACTGGTACCTGTTTGCAAGAACGAGCTGGCTTCCCGGTAGCTGGAGGGGTGAGCTGCACGTACCAAGTATCATACCAAGTGGGTCTGCAGGCACTTTTAGCGCATCGATGTCCGAATTCGTCCCAAAGAGGAAAGATAGCCTTTTTCCCACTTAGCAAAACCGGGTCGATCGTACCACTTGGCCAGCACCCAGAAAGCCCAAGAGAATTGCGTTCCTACTGATTCATGTGTATGTCACACACACAGTTCCATGCATCCCCCAAAATTGGCAGAGAGATTATTGTTGGACCTCAAATCTCTAATAGGGGCTTTACTTTTATATACCCCATCTCTAAATTGTTTAATCCAGCAAAGCTGGTAACGGTAATAATCACTCCGTTTGGGTGCCAAAACCGCTTCCTTGGCCAGTACAACATGCACATCATGACCAGCAAGTGAGACGCGGTACCCAACACCCTTCCTTGCACAATGCATACCGGTACCCATCGCTGAATGAAGATATTAGATCTTTTAGAGATCTACCGGTAGACCTCAATTTAGGGGATATTTGTTTTCTCCAGGTGTAGCTAGTTCTTGTGTACCTGGGAGGGTCCTCTTCAATTGGAAAATACTGTATGATAGATACTAACCTTCGGGACACGACACTGCAGCCTATGCAACAGGGAGCGACTCGAGATACTGAAACGATCCAGAGAATCGCCAGAAAAGCTGATCAACTCCTGCAATGAAATATACGGAGCATGCCGACATAAACCACGATTTCATAAGTACCACAATAGCCCAAGCACTGATGATTCCCATGGGGGATGAAAAAGTCAAACAACCGAAAAGTTACCACAGAGTAAAGCCTGTGTTTTGGCGATTCGGCAGTTTGTGCTGAGTAAAACTAATTAATTCAGTCACTTTTTGCTAAAATCGTATGATAGATACTGAATAGAGGCTTTCTTGAGAAGCCCATCATGTTCACTCCAGGGAGCTAGAGTAAATATGTCGCTATGGGGGCCAATCTTTCTTGCACCCCAAGTGCACTCTTACTTTTCAGCCCTGGCAGACCAGCACAAACCCTTTAATTATTTTCTAGATGCAGGTTTGATCCCTGCCGAATGGTACGTAGCATCTCACATTTTCTCACATTCTCAAAAGATATCCTCTGGGACGTCACTCCACGAAAACCTCCAACCAGCAGACTTTTCTTGTTCGGACCTGTGTTTTGCTGTTGTTCACACATTATCTTAGGCCAACCATGCACACAGCGACTAAATCTGGCGGCAAGATGAGAAAGTCAATGAGAAAGTCAATGAAAATTTTATACCTTCTGCCACTCCTCATCCATGAGGCGAGGTCAAGTTTCTTAAGAACAAGAAGCGACAACAATGGTGCCTCACTGAAACGATCTCGCAGTGGATCTTCCATCACCCCGTCGATCCGTCGAGTTTCGCCCCAGCGCAAACTACAAGACAAATTCGATTACTATGAATGCAGTCCCAACATTGTACAGTACCAGTCTGTTGTTTTTATTGAGTTTAACAACGACCTTACCAATCTGACCGACAGTGCACGCCAAGCACTGGAAGATGGCTTCAAAGAAACCTTCAATTCCCTGGTAAATTCATTTTGTGATGTATCCTACCATCGATCAGTGGTATCGGCTACACTTGAATGGCCACCGAGGCGGCGATTAAGTGAGGCTAATCCACTCTTGAATCAGATTAACTCTTTCGGTGGATTACCAAACAACAATGGCAACACAACTTTTGTCAACGACAAAAATGACACCCTCTACGACCACCAAATAGTCAGTGCGGATGGAACACTTTTAAATGAAAAGCCTCAGGCAGTGGTTACTGATGTTGCCAGATTCTTTATTTCTGTCCAATGTCACGACTGTCCCTCCAATGCATCCTTGTTCACACTTCCCAACGGCACTTCTTCCCTCACAATCAGCTCCAATACTCTGGCATCGATTACCCAATCGCGAACTGGGGCCCAGAGCCCCAATTCATGTACTTGCTTGGCCGAGTCTGAAAGTGGTATCGATGCTCCTTTCCGCGCCCCAACAGCAGCGGAATTCCAAGCTGCCTTCAACGAGACTGTGGGATCACTAAATGTGGAGGGGGTACTGCAGGAACTGGACGTCGTGGAGGACTTGGTTGAAGTCGACGTTGTCAACTGCAGTTCCAATGTACAGCAGTTCTCAAGCAATGTGATTGCAAACCTAGAAGGTGACATTGGACTCCTGACACCCCAAGAAAGATCGGCTCTCGAACTCGGTTTCAAGGACACCTACAACAGGTAGGTCCTATCGGTAATGTGGGAGTTTCTTGGTTTTTATGGAAGAAGATCAGACTCTCACCTTTCTTTCTTTGTATTGTTCAGACTCACTTTCACCCGTTGTGATAGGTACTTTCGTCAGATCTTGGAAGTTCAGCTCATATCCACAGAAGACCGGAGACGCTTGTTGGGGGCAGTGGAGTCAAATGCAACGGTTTATTCCAATGCAACCAACTCTTCCCTCGTCTTCTACAACGAAACTGAGCCCCCAGCCAACCGAGTTGTTCCAGCAGTGTACCGTGTCTTTGGAGAGTGTCGAGGTTGTCCAGTCAGTAGGACAGGATCCTTCAGCCTGTTTGACGATGTCTCGTTGCGAAGATCCTTGGAAGAGGCAGCAACAGCTATGTTCGCACCTCCACCTGCAGCGAGGTATGGGCGAGACCTGTTAGGCGAGCCAGACGATGTGTGTCTCTGTCCACCAAACTCTCAACCAACTGACCCGCAAGCACCTTCGGACAAAGAATTCGAACAAGAGTACAGCGCCACGGTAGAACAGCTGCAAGATGAAGGAGTTGTTGTCAACGTCGGGAGCGTTGATAATGTACAGACCGATAATGAAGTCTGTAGCCGAAGTCTGGAACAGGAAACTGGCTACTACATCGTGAAATTCGCGGGAGAACTGAAGGACGGGCCCAGTTTGGGGAGGAAACTCGAGGAGGCTTTTCGTGCAGCATACCGGTCTCTTGGTCGAGATGTGTGTGGCCCCCTCTTGTCCGACGTCGACGTCGTGGAAGAAAACAGAGATTCAAATGAGATTGTTTTTGAGGTTGAATCCTTGCAAACCTTTGCAGGCAGCATCTTCCTCAATAGTCAAGAAGAGTCCATATTTGTGGAAAGTCTTAATGAAAACTTGTCGGACGAAAGAATCAATTCCCAAGCAGAGGGAATTAAGCTTGGTTCCAAACCAACTAGTCCTCCAACGCCAAGTCCAACCGCAGCACCTTCACGAGCTCCAATTCCAGCCACAAATGGCACCACTGTGCCCCAGCCCACAGTTCCCACAGCAGTTCCTCCAGCAAACAGCACCCTTGCGCCCCAGCCGGTACAACCGACGGCGCCACCGACTTCGCCACCGACAAATGCAACTGAAGAGAAAGGAGGAGAGGGCTCTCAGCCACCTAGTACAAAGGCCCCTGTGACACCTGTGCCCACACAGAGGTCGTCTCCAACAACAGCACCGTCTGAGCCCATAGCCCCAACTGTCCCTCCCACCACTAGACCACCTGCCACAATGAGACCCACGCAGCCACCAACCGAGTTTCCAACTCCAGTGCCTACACCCGAACCAACAAAACAACCCACTCCAGAACCAACACGCGAACCAACAGAAATTTCCACGGACGCTCCAACTGCGGAACCAACTGCTCGCCCGACAGAGGACCCGACTGCTCGTCCAACTGCAGAACCGACTTCGGAACCAACTTCGGAACCAACTGCTAGTCCAACTGAGGAGCCAACCAAGACAGTGGAGCCAACCATGAGCCCAACGGAGGCTGTAGGCATACCGGTACTCCCACCACCAACGGGCTCAAACCCCGGTATACTCCCACCTCCAACGGGCTCAAACCCTGGTATTCTCCCAGAAACGGGTCCACCCACCACCGCTGCACCAACTACAGACTCACCAAGTGCCAGCCCCACCACATGGATAGACAACGTGGATAACACCGTCTCTACGGTAATTGACGATGTCAGGGGAAAACTAGAAGTGATAGTCGGACACGCCTTGCCAGTGATAGAGGACGTGACAGAGTTCTTGGATGAGGTTGACGGTGAGCTCGGGGCAATCTTTGACTCAGTCATTCCAGACGTACCGGACCTTTCAGATTTGTTGGAGGATGTCTCGCATATGTTAGACGAACTTCCTGCCATCCCCGGGGTGCCAGACATGCCCCAAACGAGAGAAAGCATTCAAGAGACAATCCGAGGAATCCTTGGCATTCTTCGAGGCGAACCAACAACTTCCAGCCCTACGACGGCTCCCACGATGGATGGGACACTCACAGCGGGACCTGCGCCAACAGCAGCCCCCCCGATGGCGCCCACGACACTGCCCTCACCGGATGAGCCCACAGCATCCCCCTCCCCAGTGCAGCTACCGGTGGTCACGACTCCACCTCAGACGCAGCAGCCAGTATCAGCACCCCCTTCTCCGCAACCAACCAAGTCACCGACGAAGGCGAAAGGATGCAAGGGAGGCAAAGACTCAGGCACCTCAAGGGTGACAAGAACGGAAAAGGACCCAAAGGTTCTTCATCAGATACTTCGGATGATGACGTAGATGACTGCGAACCTGAGACCATCGGAGAGGGAAGAGGACCCTTAGTTACACAGGCACCAAGCACCAACGAGCCAACTCCTCAACCAATCACACAGGCACCAAGCACCAACGAGCCAACTCCTCAACCAATCACACAGGCACCAAGCACCAACGAGCCAACTCTTCAACCAATCACACATGCACCAAGCACCAACGAGCCAACACCGGAGCCAACTGCTGCACCATCACCCGTACCAACACCTGAGCCAATCGATGACAATGGCGGAAATGCTAAAATTCCACCTGAAACAACAGCACCTTCGCAGCCTTCTCAAACTCCATCATCCCAGCCGAGCAACGCCCCTTCGCAGTCCTCGTTGCCTAGTCTCCAACCCACAAACCGGCCAACCCAGCGTCCAACCAGCTCTTTATCTCCAACCATTTCTTCTTCACCAACCCAAGAACCAACCAGATCCATGGTTCCATCAAATGCACCATCAAAGAAGCCGTCAAATGAGCCATCTGCTTCTCCATCAGCGCCCCCATCCGCCAGTGTAAATCCATCTACTGTACCAAGCTCGGATCCCTCAGATATCCCGACGAGTAGTCCGTCTACTGCACCTTCAGAGACTCCTTCTGTGGCCCCATCCGGTGATCCTACGGGGTATCCAACGAGAGAACCAACATCAAATCCAACCAGCTCCTCATCTCCAACTATTTCTTCTTCACCGACCCAAGAACCAACCATATCGATGGTTCCATCCAATGTACCATCAAATAAGCCATCGCATGAGCCATCACATGAGCCATCTCTGTCTCCATCTGCACCCCCATCTGCCAGTGTAAATCCATCTACTGTGCCTAGCTTGGATCCATCAGGTGTCCCGACGAGTACTCCGTCTACTGCACCTTCAGAGACTCCCTCTGTCAACCCATCTGGTGATCCTACGGGGTCCCCAACGAGAGAACCAACATCAAATCCAACCAGCTCCTCATCTCCAACTATTTCTTCTTCACCGACCCAAGAACCAACCATATCCATGGTTCCCTCAAATGTGCCATCAAAAAAGCCATCAGCGCCCCCATCTGCATCTCCATCAGCGCCCCCATCTGCTACTCCCAGTGTACGTCCATCTACTGTACCAAGCTTGGGTCCCTCGGATGTCCCTACAAGTACTCCGTCTGCTGCACCTTCAGAGAGTCCCTCTGCGGATCCATCTAGTGGTCCGACAGGGTATCCAACCACTGCTATACCAACAACGAGAGAACCAACATCAAACCCAACCAGCTCCTCATCGCCAACTATGTCTTCTCCACCAACCCAAGAACCAACGACACCACATCCATCTGGTTCTCCAACAGAGGGCCCGTCAAAGCAACCTTCACTTTCTCCATCCACAGCTCTTCCGACAACAGCAGAACCAACTGCCACTCCAGAGCCAACCACTCAGCAGCCAACAACAACTAATGCCACTCCCAAGCCAACCACTCACCCGAATCCAATCAATTCTCCACCTCCAACTGCTTCACCAACCAAGAAACCAATAGACTCCACAACAGCACCAACATCTAGAAGTCAGGTTCCGACTGAATCACCATCACATCCCAAAAATATCCACCTCAACCCGCCCACAGAATCACCAATATTCCCCCCATCTGAGCCTCCCACAGTTGCACCAACTGGACCTTCCTCAGAAATTGCAACTGAGCCTCCAACTGAACTTCTCACAGAAGCTCCAACTGAACCTCCCACAGAAGCTCCAACTGAACCTCCTACAGAAGCTCCAACTGAACCTCCCACAGAAGCTCCAACTGAGCCTCCCACTGAGGCCCCAACTGAACCTCCCACGGAAGCTCCAACTGGGCCTCCAACCGTGCCCCCAACAGAGGCTCCAACTGAACCTCCAACAGAAGCTCCAACTGAACCTCCGACAGAGCCACCAACAGACTCACCAACGCCGGTTCCCACACTGGAACCAACGAACCCACCAACTGAGGAGCCCACTGTGGAACCAACGCCAGAATCAACAGGGGGTTCATGGATTGCAGAGCTGTTTGAACCTATTGGGTTTCCTTGAGCACGGTCTTTATGCTACAACCAAAGAGTAGTATGTATTGTGAATGTAAAATACTGCATAGTGATTGTTTTGTTACCTGTACAACACCAGTATGACAGTAAAAATAGAAATAGAGCGACCCTCGAGGGTTTAGTATCAGTACTTCTCCTTGCCAATATATTTCTTTCACCGTTGTGTCTGGGTGCCTCTCCTTGTGTTCTCATCCTGTCCCAGATAGAGGCCGTGCTGGTGGTGCCAACCACAGGCGTTTGTAGGTGCTCTCTGCTAGCTAGCTATTGGGCAAGGCACATGTACATGCGGACTGGCACCAGGACACAATACCATACTTATGGCTAGCTAGTATGGTCCATATTCAGGAAGTCGCACAGATGAAACACCAGGGCCCACTCCAGGCCCTATTCCAGTTCCTAAAGGTACTCTGGGACCATCCACAGGCCCAGCTCCTGGCACAACACATTTGCCATGTTCTGCAGGGTACTGTCCAGGCCTAACCCATGGTCCACTCCTAAGGAACACCAGGAACCACTCCAGGCCCCACTTCTGATCCAAGCTGGGATAATCTCAGGAACCCCTCCCTCACTCCTGAATCAACTCCAGGACCACCAACTCCTGACCTCACTCCTGAACCAACGCCTTGATTGAACCTACTCCAGGTCCCGCACCACTAACTATAGGATCAATGCCTAGCTAGACCATCTTTTCCAAATATCATTCGTGGTCCCACACCTGAACCAATACCAGGAACCGCACCAGACCCCAATCCTGAACCAGCACTACCAGTAGGGGCAAACACCTGGCAATGCCTTGATCTGTCCACCTGATAAGGTGTATTGGACTGGTGCTTCTTCATTACCCATACTTGTGTTGTCTCCATGGCAGAAACTGGCAATGGCGCCCGCGGCTGTCCCATGCGACGCCGTATGACTAAATAAACATGATACCTCTTTGGCTTTAGCTAGGAAAATTACCTGGCCTGGTCGGCAGCATCTACCCGACGGCTGCTCTCGCCTAATGCGACGTCGCTGTGGTCGGCCAGGAATTTGATTGTTTTCAAGAGCTTTTTGCTCGTGTATCTGGTTTCCACAGTCTCAACAATACGGTCGCAATACTTCTTGGTCACTTCCCTTTGATAGACCTGCATTCGAATGTCCCGGTTAACTTTATCAACGCGTGATTGATAATCACTGATCCCATCGATCCACTGTTGATTGAGTTTGGTGAGAGTCCCGCGTCGTTCTTCCTGACCTTGAACATCCAGCTCCAACCGTGTCACATTGCACACATTCGAGGAACTTTCTGTGATCAATTTAGCATTACTTTCCTTGACGGCTTTGATCTTGGCAACAAGCTTGTCCGCATTTTCGTTTTCTTTTTCGATTTGCTTCTTCAAGAAATTCACCATCTTGACGCGAGTGTCCATGTTGTCAAACTGGCCCGGTTTGAACTGTCCCATCTTGGACTTTTTGCCTTCGGCAACCTCTTCCAGCTGCGTCTTTTTGCCTTCGGCAATTGTTACTAGCTTTTCCCGAAGATGAACCACCCGAAGAGCACATCGAACCAATCGCTGGATCCTGATGGCGGCCAATCGTTCAGGGCTCAACAAGTCTCTGGATCGTACCAAGAATCCCCTCACAAGCGACTGCATCTTGGAAGCCTTTTGTGCCTCCAAAGCCGCCTTGCGTCGCTGTTCCTCCTCTTCTTCCTGTCTCTTTTTGCGTTTGGCTTCTTCTTCGGCAGTTTCTTGTGGCTGCTCCTCCTCCTCTTCTTCCTTCTTTTGCTGGTTGTCACCTCTTCGATTGCGTCGTTTGCGGCGATTTCGTTTTCGCGATTTCCGTTGCTTTTCCACCAAAGTACCCCGAGCTTGCACCCCACGGACCAATGACTGGATGATTACTGCCGCTGCACTCATCGGCTTGGTTCCGGTACGAGACAGGGCCTGCCTCATCTTGGGCAGACCAGTGGTACGTCCAGAAGAATCCATTGCTCGTCGATCCTGATACATTCGAAAGAACGCCTGAATCTTGGTGGCTTCCTCTGCTTTGAGTTGTTCCAATTCCTTGCGACTCTCTTCTATCAATCGGTTGACTTCTGCCAGTTTGCGCTCCAACTCCTCTTCTGATGGATCTTTATTCTTGCCATTGTTGAGACTTCGTCGCGACCGTCGTTGACGCCTCTTTCGATCTTGATAGCTTTTCTCTTCTTCACTGCTGTCTTCATCGTCCGATGCATACGCGGGGCCTAGCAGGTTGTTGGCATAGGGTTGTGTCATGAGAGCAGTCTTTTTTTGCTGTGTTTGCTGATTCTGTTGCGAATTGGACCGGTGGCGGCTCTGCTTTTGTTGTTGCTGCTGATGATGATGATGATCATGGTGTTTCTTGTGTCGTTTGTTGGAAGCTGTGGACAAGACACTGACATCCTCTGCCTCGACAAAATTTTCATCGTCGTCGCTATCGTCATACTCTTGTCGTCGTCTCCTTCTTCTCTGGCGATCCCGACGATTGGTTTCCCTGGGCAAATCTGTTTCACACGTTGTAATGGACATGTCGTCTTCTCGTGTGACCGAGCCTTCGTCGTCATCATCCTCGTCGTCGTCGTCCTCTTCATCGGATTCCTCATCCGACTCTTGGGCCACAGCCATGACTGTGTCGCTGAGGTCGCTGTGATCATCATCCGACTGTTCATCTTCGTAGTCCGAATCCGCGTCCTCTTCCGAATCGCTGACTTCGGCCACAGCCATGACACTCACGCTCAAATCGTCGTTTTGCGTTTGGTTCTTTTTATTGCTCTTTTTCGTTTTCTTCTTGTAGGCATACGACGCTCCACTATCATCGTCATCGTCATCTTCTTCACTATCCAAATCTCCTCCGACACTGCGACGAGGCGATACGGCCAAGACACTGGCATCTTCTTCGGATTGTTGTCGTTTGGGTGATTTGTACCTCTTCTTTTTCTTTGTTGCCTTTTTGTTGTGATTGTTGTCGTGTGCGCCAAAATGGAGGACATCGGCACTGAGTGTCCGACTGGGCCGTGCCGTGGCCATGACACTACTATTGGCGAGCAACAAATCATTATCGTCTTCGTCCTCATCTTCATTACTGGTGATGGATCCCAACTCGAGCCCATCATATTCATCCTCCTCGTCATCTTCATCGGTGAGTTTGGAGAGATAGGAAACACTGGTGGATCGAAAACTCTGTTGAGAGGGAAGCGAGGACCGTTCCGAACTGAGCAAGGAATCTGCCTTGTCATCATCGTCGTCGTCGTCATCCTCAAAGACTTCATCGTCTTCCATGACGACCGGAATGACAACATTTTGACTGACGCCGGCAACGCCCAACCCCGACGATTGATTTCCCGATTCCTTATTGATAGTATTTTTGGAAGCTGTTGTGGTTGGTAGCTCCAATTCGTGAAAGGGCATGCTCTGATCCGGCATGGATGCGTCAATCATGCTCTGATCTTCTTTCATGGATGGATCCTTCACGGATGGATCCTTTGTCGATTTCATGCCTCGTTTGCCCCGGTTGGCCTTATTATTATTGGTGGTGGTGGTTTTGGAATTTGTCTTGCTGATTCGTTTATTGTTGTTGGGTGGTGCTGCTGCCTTAGTATTGTTATTGCGTGGTTTGTCGTCAGCAGCATCTTTGCTATTCGTTTTCTCGACTGCCTTCTTCGGTTTGCCCACTACTTTTTTGGTTCGTTTTACGGCAGATTGTGTTCGTTGCCGGACCAAAATTCCTCGGACTATTGCTTGTACCTTGACCGCCGCTTGTGCTTTGTCTTTGCCTTGTTTGGCCTCTTCAATTTGTCGATCGATTTCGGCAATTTCCGCTTCGAGCTGTTCCTTGGCTTTGGCCTCTTGTTGTTGTTGTTTCTTAGTGGTGGTGTCTTTGGCCGACGACGGTCCACTACTGGTCTGTCGGACTCGTTTGGCCCGTTTCTTCTTGGCAGCAGCGGCAGTAGTAGCAGTAGTAGTAGTCGTCGTCTTTTTGTTTGTCTTGGGGCTTGTCATCTTTTTATGGTTGTTGTGGAGTCGTCTAGTACGGACGAGAAATCCTCGCGCCACAGCTTGAATCTTGACGGCTTCGGCTCCTTGCAAGAGTCCCATTTCTTCCTTGCCACGAGCAATCATGGCTTCAATTTCTTGCAGTCGTTGTCGCATCCCCGCTGCAGTGTTCATGTCCAGAGAAGGAGCTTCTTTCGTTTCTTTTTTGGGAGGTGTGGGAGACAGTGGAGCTGATTTACTAGTGTTTTTGGAAGTCAATTGTCGCTGCGAAGGCTGCTTCTTGGGAGGCAGCGCCTTTTGCTTGGGAGCTTCAATGTCCATATCGTCAATGGACAAATTGCGCTTGCTGCCGCTGCGTGTCCTGATCTTCTTCTTGCTCTTGGGTGTCGAACTGGACGGGAGGTCCGTCAAGGGTGCTGACGCTGTCGCAGCAGTAGTTGTAGTGGCAGCATTGTCATCTTTGGAGGTTGCCGTCGTGTCCTTCTTGTCTTTGGTATTCGACACCAAACCCCGTAGACTCTTGAACTTTCGGCCCAGTAAAGAGGCACGCTTGTTCGACTTGTCGTTCATCGTGATGGTCTTGGTCGATGTGGATCAATCGAATGAATGAACACACTGCTTCAAAGGGAGAGCTCGCTTGATCTATCGAGCCAAGAAAGGAAAAGTGATGCCACGATCGACTTGCCGTGTGTGTCGCACAACCAGCTCCTCGCCAATGCAAGTCTGCTATTGGAGTAGTCGATCTTGACGACGCTCTTTTTACGACAACTCTTTGCACAATCGGAACAACAATAAGATTACAACACAGCAACACAACACAAGAAGTCAAGCGTTGGTTTCTCAAGGATTTGAGACGGCATCCATTCTGCTGCTTGCTCTCCTGAAAGTCTCTTTGGAAGCAAGTTGAAGTTGAGAAGGCAAAGCGTTAACAGTCAATCACGGGAAGACATGAAGTTATGCCATAAACGTCCATACAGACGTGACTGCTCGTGACATTAAATCATTGTTTAGTTGATACAATTATTGAACACTTGAACCGTTAAGCGTATAACCCAGCTGAGATGTAATACTTTAAGAAGCCAGAATTCTGTCACTTGGGTCCTATCGAGGTTACGGTTGCAAACCGACCACCTCCGTGCATCAACTCGAACCGGTACCGTTACTGTAAGCATCGATCAATATTATTTGTCATGTACGGTAGGTTTGCCCCGTGGCAACAACAATGACATTGCACGGTGCCATTTTAGCAGCGGTTGCCTATTCCAATTTGAAATTTGTGGCACAATCGCTCTTGTGGTATCTTGCTCGAAAAGTAGCTAATGCATTCTTGATGAGGGAGCGCCTCGTGCGATTCCATCTTGGTCCTTGGAACCGGCGACCGTCGTTGCATTGGGTCTGATATAAGAAAAGGAACCGCTCTGACGACATGGGAACGACTTCCACATTGACTTCTAAAGTTTCCTGTGCCCAGCGACGGGTGCTCTCGTATGTAGTCCTATCCATACGCTCCCAGTCCAGTAGAAGGAACCCAGCATGCTCAATCTTGGCTAAACACTCCGGCATCTTGCTACTTCCTAGCTTCCTCAGGTATTCATCAATGGTACCGATCGCATCATCATCGAACAGCCACCATTCTCCATTTCGAACGCGATCAAGGTTGTTGTAGAAGTGCTCCATGGATTGCTCCTCAATTTTAGCAACAAGTCTTGCTACCACAACGTAATCATACAAGGATGGAGCACTCGTACTGTTGTGTTCATCGTCGACTGTTCTGATTGCCTTTTGAAGGGTTTTGTACTTGGTGTTGAGGGATTTACATGCATTCTTGTGACCACCTTCCCAGGCCCGCTCTTGACAGGATTTTCCACAGTAGCAGGCGACATCGCAGCCGCCGCAAGCAAATATTCCCGTCTGATCCCCAGGGACTTTGCCACACTCCCAACAGGACCTCTTCACATCGTAGACTCCAATTCTAAACTCCCTACCGCAATTGGTCGCCGCTTTACAGATAGTCTCAAAAGAAATGAGATGTTTCCCTTCCTCAGTTTCTTCGAGAATAGAGTATTTGATATCTCTCAGTTCTGGCATTCCCCGCTCATAGATTGGACATTGGCGGAGAAAGGCGCCGTTTCTCCGTTGCAAAGCTTGCTGTCCATTCGAGGCGCCCACGACCTGCAAGTTGCGTCGACTGCAGTCTTGAGCTTGTCCATTTCGAAATTCGGCCAATCGATTGCTCTAGAAGAGAGAACAGTGCGGATAGGATTGGTCAAGAATGCCAGGTCGTCATCGGCCTTGTTGTCGGAATCGCTCCCATCGAAATAAGGGTTCCCGCCGGCCTTTGCAAGGTGCTCGCAGACTGCTTCATTTGACAAGAGAAAGAGAAGGTATTTCGAAAACTGTTGAATGTCATCTTTGCTCAACAGCTCTCTGTAGCCTGGCACAAACTCGAACGCCTTTTCGGCAAGACTCTGGCACAGATGATCGTTGGTCTTGTCCTCGAGTTCACTACTAGTGATATTTGGAAGAATGTACGCATTCTTGTACTCGCAAACCAGCTGAATCGATAACGAGTGTACTTCTATTTTCTTCTCTCTCATGTTACGAAGTGTCTTGGGAAGGCACTTGGCAACCATATGGCAATCGATCTCCTTTGTTTCGTGAATGTCTTCCAAAAGCCGTTTCAGGCCCTCCTCTTCACCTTCGAAGCATCCAAGACCGCCATGGCTTTCATGGCTCTTAGCCTTCAGATTCTTCCGCTGTTTTCCTTTGGATTTCTTCTTGCTTCCCATTGTGTTTGGATCAACTATCTGAACTAAACTATCGTACGTAAATTGAAATGAACGACAATCGAGTTGTGAAGTTGCTGTGCGAGAGGGAGTTTGGAAAACGGCTGAAAATGTGAGATGGTCTCCAAACGCGCAGGCCCGGCTAAAAATCAGCTTTGCAGGTTCATTTTGTTCCGATCTCTGTTCGCACCATCGCGCGGTGCCGCCAAGGTCCACAACCACCGAAAATGAAAAAAATCTTTCAAACGAGCTTGACGCCTCTGCATTTCCCTCACTTGTCTCACATTTTCTTTGACGGACAGGACAACCATTGGTCTAGTTTTTAAAGAAAATTTTTACTAGAACCATGGGAAAGTCCAAATCCTCCAAAGCAACGCCCTCCAAAGCAACACCCTCCAAAGATGACCCCGCCAAGGTGAAGCAAATGAAAAAGGCAGCCGAAGGTGCCGCTAAGAAAGCCAAGGATGCCAAGGAAGTGGCTGCCAAGTTGGCAGCCGAAGCAGAGAAGTTGAACAAGGCGTTGGAAGAGTACGTGGCCAGCCAGAACAAGAACAAGAAGGACAAGAAGAAGCCTGCCAAAAAAGTGGAGAGTGATGACAGTTCCGCCTCCTCGTCCTCTTCTTCCTCCTCCTCAGAAGGTGCCAAGAAGACGGCTGAAAAGACACCCACTCCAGTGAGTAGCAGCAGCAATAGTTCTTCGGATTCTTCCTCGGATGAGGAGGAAAAGCCCAAGAAAAAGGAAGAACCAGCCAAGGCAAAGAAGACTGCCAAGAAAGAAGAACCAAAAAAGGAGGATTCTGACTCGGATAGCAGCAGTGATAGTGATAGCGACGAAGAAGATGCCAAGAAGCCAGAAAAGATGGATGTTGACAAGAAGCCAGACGCTAAAAAGAAGTCCAAGGATGAAAGTGATGATGACAGCAGCGGCAGTGATGACAGCGACAGTGAAGAGGAAGAAAAACCCACCAAAGCAAAGGGAGAAAAGAAGACTGATGCAAAGAAAAAAGCAAAGGACGGCTCGGATTCGGATTCGGACTCTTCCTCTGGTAGTTCTTCCGATTCCGATGGTTCGGACGATGACGAGGATGATAAAAAGGAAGAAAAGAAAAAAACTGAAAAGCGCAAAAACGAAGATTCCACGGAAGACGAACCACCCAAGAAGAAAATGGCAGCTGCAGAAGACACCGACGGCAATACCAAAATCTATGTTCGGGGATTGCCTTGGAGGGCATCTGAAGATGAAGTGTGGGAATTCTTCAAGGGTTGTGGAGATGGGCCCAAAACTGTGGAATTGCCTCTCGATGCATCAGGAAGGTCGTCTGGAACTGCCGTTATCGATTTTGGTACAACGGCAGGAGCGGATGCTGCCATTGCACTCGATGGAGAAGACTTTCAGGGTCGTTGGTTATCGATCAAATACTCTAGTCCCAAACCCATTCTGAGTCCCCGGGCTCCTACCGTCAAGGAAGAAGGCTGTATGACGGTCTTTGTGGGAAATCTTTCCTGGGACGTGGATGAGGATGCTCTGCGACAAGCATTTGCCGACTGTGGAGAGATTACCAATATTCGATTTGCCACCGATCGCGAATCGGGCGAATTCAAGGGTTTTGGACACATCGAATTTGCCGAATCTGATTCTACTGACAAGGCCGTGGCCATGGCGGGAACCGACATTTTGGGTCGTGCCGTGCGAGTGGACTTTGCCAATCAAAGAAAACCACGCGAAAGCTTTGGCGGCGGCGGTGGTTTTGGTGGTGGCGGCAGAGGTCGTGGCGGCGGTCGAGGTGGAGGCTTCGGCGGCGGAGGAGGATACGGTCGAGGAGGAGGACGCGGCGGTGGTCGCGGAGGAGGACGAGGGGGCCGTGGTGGTGGCGGTAACTCGTTTTCCAAGTCCAGAAACAGTGGTGCTATTGCTAGCTTTGCCGGAAAAAAGATCACATTTTAAAGCAAGTAGGAAAGGCTACGACAACTCTGCTGCTACAGTTGTGGGATGAAGAAACGGGTGGCTCGAATGGGGCCGCTACCAAAGTAGCAAAATCTCTAATGTTATATAGAACTGTGAATGGCTTTATTTTGCTCTAAGCTTTTCGTTTGGCCCTCTTTCCCGTTGTCAACAGCCTATAATTCGTCAAGGGCTACTGTAGGTTCCACTTGTCCAGCCTTCTGCGTCGGGGCGTGCCCAAGGACCGTCGATGGCTGACGATACAATCCGCAAATGACGCGTCAACCTTCCGCGGGGTGCTTCGTCATCATCTGCTGGAAATGTGTAAGCTGGGTACATCCGATGAGCGTCTTCCACATTGGGACAAGCAATGCTTTGGCTGGCGTCTGCAAGGTATTCGTAGACGCAAACAGGGTCTGTGTGAGAGTCGCGGTGACCTCTAACACCAATTGGATCATCCTCCATCATGATATCCAGTCGGCGGCGCAGACGTTCATACACTTGCGATGGCAAGTTCGTGTCACTTCCATACCGAATAAGGGGGCCAACCAAGCCACCCGAGTCTCCAACGGGCTCCAAAACCTGAATAAAGGCTAGCGGGGGTGGGTGTGGCGGTGTGGGGAGCTTCCAGTTGTTGCGTGGTTTGAATTCTTGAATTTTGTCAACATCGATCAGGTAAACGTTCCCTTCTGGTGTTTCATGTTGATTGTCAACCCCAGCAAAAGGGAGATCTGCCTTGGCAGCGAGTTGTTCAATCTTAATTTTTCCAGTCCTGTCATCGATGTCCCCTTCCTGTCGATGAGCAAAGATGAGAAGTTTGGGAAGCCCCACAACCTCTTCAGTACCTGGCACCACATTTTTCACTTCATTTTTTTCATTGTACTCCAGGCGTACATGTCGCAATCCTCCACCATACATTGAGTAGCATTCATTTCGAAGGTATCGCTTATCGACTCTTTTCAAATCCAATCCTGGAACCGCCACAAAAAATCCACGTTCTGCATACTGGGTTGATTAAAAGGATGAAGGGAAGAGATGTTAGTGTTGGCAACAACAATAGACAAGAACAAAATGCCTGGCATCACAAAAAAGATCAATACATCGATTACCTTGGCCAGTCGCGTTTCGTAGTTCCCAGAGCGGCGCTCTGGGTCGGCCATGTTTGTGCCTGTCATGAGGGCCCGCTGAGCAGCAGGGGTAGCCCTGACATTCTTGCCATCAAAGAAGACCTGACAACAATCAATGTCAAAGTTGAACACTACTTCTGCTGGGCACCTGTGATGAGCCAATATAATCTGTACGTTGCGTTGAGGGTATCCGACCACAATGGTCACGGCATACTGACTTCGAACAAGCAATAATTGATGGTGATGGATCCTGTCGTTGTCGTCACCTCTCCCACCAGCAAAGTGCTGAACAATTTTGTCATAAATGGCTCTTGCCTTCTCTGGATTGGGTGCTACTAGAAAGAGATCAATATCCCCCTTGCTATCAGGGTCCGTGCGTCCCATGAGTGCGGACAAGACAGAACCACCAGCCACTACCACTCCTTGCTCCTCTAGCAAAGGAAAGTCTTGGAACATGGGTCCTGCATAGTCCACAAACTGTTTCTTGAACTCCTTGAGATTGGCAGCCAACTTGTGTGGCGAAGCCTTCCTGGCAGCAAGAGCATCCTTTTGGAAGAGTATTGTGGCATCGGAAGAGGAGCATAGCTGGTCGTAATTTGGGCTGATCGCAAGCCTTTTTGTTTTTTGATCAAACAGATCCACCAACAACTGATTTGCCTTTTCCACGGCAAATGGATCTTCTTTCTGAAAGGAATCTCGGATGGCTGCTGCCTGATCTCGCATTGCTTGGTCTTCGTAGGACAAACACCCTGGATCGTAGCCTTCCCCATACAGACGAAGCCTCGACACAAGGCCATCTAGCTGATAGTACGATGCTTCTTGAATCAACGCCAATTTCTCTCTCTTAGTGCTGGGTGCCAACACGTTGTGGGTTCTCAAGTAATCCAAAACAAACCCAAACAACGTGGGAGAGCGATCAATAAAGATGCGATTGTGCGCGTCACGCTGCGATCCTCGCACAATGACAGCAGTGTCTTCCTCCAACAGCCGCTCAAAAAAGGGCGATCCACTCTGTAGGAGTGTCTCGCGAGTGGTGGCAAATACGCGGCCACCCACATTGAGCTGGACCGTGGGGTCCCGCGTTTTCGCCGATAGTTCATCTTCCTCCTGCTCCAATCGACGCTTCTTCAGCTCGAGTTCCCGTTCTTTCATCTCCAACTCCTTGTCCTCCAAAGCGAGGCGCTTGGTCTTGATCTCACGTTCGCGCTTGGCCAAGCCTGCCTCATCTTGGAGGATCTTATCATTCTTATTATTATTGTCAGTCATCGTCCTTTGTCCTCTTTGGAAAACTGTGCATGGCTTCTGTGAATCTGGTGGATCTTTCAGCGCGAATGTTGAATGGATATCATACGATTCGATTCGATTCGAATTCGGATCTGATTCGATTCGAATCGATTCAATTCGAATCAATCCGATTTTCATTGGAATCGAATCAATCGAATGATGAATCGAGTCGATTTAGAAGAAGTTTCTGGACACTCATGACTGCCAATCGTTTGCAAACACTGACGTTCATCGCATCGCATCGCATCGCATCCCGTGATGGATCTGTTCCATGGAAGACGCCATTCGAGGAGCTGATGGTGCCTGCTGTTATGCATGGTGGCAGGCCCTTCAAAGTCTGGGCTCCGAAGTATTGGTATAGACCACAATGGAACTTGGAAAGCAAAGAGGCCGTCCAGTGGTGGCTGTCTTCATACTCCTACTGCACTCCATCACAGGTGGGGTCTCCTCTCTCTTGACCCAATATCATGTCCATCCCTTGAAATGTTCCTCGCTGATGGACAGCAGCATCCATATTTGCAGCAACAGGGTGAGAAGAGACAACAGTTGCATCAGAAAGGGGCGGAAAAGAATATGTCTTGAAACTGCAGTTTCAGGGCAGGATGGCCAAACTGCAACTGACTCGAATTTCCGGGCTCTCAAGATGGCAGATATTGAACCGGTGGCGGATCTGCTGGTTGGTACGTGCATGCATGGGCAGTATTTGTTGGATTATATGTTTGATACTCGTGGTCTCATTTTGTTTCTCTTGTGGTCTCTCTTTGACAGACTGTTTTGAGACGGAACTGAAATGGTTCGAGTTTCCAGAACGAGAGGCCAGACGGAAAAAGTACAGGGATATGCTGCAGAGTTCCCTCCTCAGACGCATCCAAAAGGCATCCTCCTCCGAGGACGAAACCACGCAAAGTCTCTCCTTCATGTTGTTGGTGGAGTCGGCAAAGGAACCCGGCAATAAGATGTTGGGGTTTGTGCAAGTGGGAATGCTACCTCCACCACCGGGGTTTCAACCAACCAATGATGATAGTGACCAAGCAATAACCAAAGATGTTCCCTACATTGCCAACCTATGCGTCCTCCCTTCTAACCGGAAACATGGAATTGGAAAGAAAATGGTCGATATTTGCACACGGTGGCTGGCAAAGAAAGAGCAACAAAATGTCTTTATTGCAGTGGAATCTGACAATCTAGTTGCCAAGCGATTCTATCAAGGAATCAACTTTGCATGGATTGAACCACCCGGTGTGAGTTCCCAGCGGGATTACTACTATCGTCCCATCTCGTCATGATCCAGCACCTTGTGTGCAGATGCAGTTGTGCAGTAAGGCTAATTCAAAGGTAGAGGCAACATTGTGTCGGCCCTAATGGGTAAATGTTATGGAGGATCATTGATACAACACCCAACTCCCCATCAATCCACGAAGTACACCATCGGAGGAAGCTCCGTTATGCAGCGTCCCGCATAGACCAATCTATCGAACCAGCTCAGAAAGCTAGCTAGCAAGAGCTGGAACTTAAGCTCGTTCGATGAAGAATGGGCTCTCTGTAGCACTATAGCGTAAAATGTAAAATGTAAATCGTATAAGATGTTGTCCTTACATCAGCTTGTGGCTATATAGTAGAGGTTGTTTCGCAGATCCAAGCCACGGAGCTACTATTCAACCGTGCGCAATCAGGACTTGGTCTTCGAAGTGTGTAATGAATTCCTACATGTTGGTTTCTGTGGCGCAGAAGGGCAACTATTTGTACAAATCTCTTGGATGAATGAATCAAGGAAAGACTTCATCCAAGCCTTCACTTCCATGACTGCGACGACGAACGTTGCCCCTGGCGTTCAATGTCATGGTCAGCTTCGCTTGTCCATCTCGATCGCAGACCCGGATACGCAAGGCCCGGGTAGACACTGCTACGGACACAAAACCTTCACCCCGACGTTGAGAATTGTCTCCAGACACAACGCCATGAGACCATGTGCCAACATGTTGAATGTTCCAACCAGTCTGTAGATTGGTGTGTGGAACTGTTACCTCGGGAATTCCCCAGAGGCTGTTCCGACCATCATCGATACCTCCTCCTATATCACGATGTGTACGTGTCAGAGTACAGGTTACAATGCATGCCAAGCAGACAAACAAAAGAATGGAAACGCACCAGTATGAATGTCCCCGCTAATCATGACAATGTTCCGCAAGTTGTTGGTCTCAATGAACTGTCGAATCCTTGCCGCTTCCGTTCTGTAGGCAGTCCAGTTGTCTTGAGTAGTCATGATACGGGCATATTGGTTAGCCCCGGTACTGCTGACGATGATCTTCCATGTCGCTGAGGAACTCCGAAGTCCATTCAGCAGCCAGGTGATCTGATCGTCGGCAATACTGTTTCCTCCATCGAGCATGCTTTTCCCTGCAATATCAGGCCATGCTCCAGGATCTCGACGACTTCGGGTGTCCACAACGAACAGTTCCGCAGGACCAGCTCGGAAGCTATACCAAAGCCCATTCTGAGGATTGGCATAGGGATACCCAGGAAAGTACTCGCGAAAGGCCTTGGTGGCTCCTTCCTTGTTGACACAGAACCGGTCGCTATCATTGTCACAGTAGTCATGATCGTCCCAAATGTGGTAGAGTGCCATCTTGGTCATAATGTGGGCGGTAAACTGTGCCCCTGCTTGATAGCGAGTGTCTCGAACTCTCCTATGCATTTCTCTGCTGGCCTGTATGCTCATTGGGTCAGTATGATCAAAGTCTCCAATCTGGAGAGCAAAGAGAGGATCATAATTTCCAATGTGTCCACCTGCTACATAAGCTCTGGCTGGAGAGTCATGCTCCCCGTTGTTGCTGCAATCACTGAAAACACTAAACTCAAACGACGTGCTGTAAGATGGAAAGGTTTTGAACATTTGCTCATAGACATCGGGTACATTTTGAATGGCGCCGTCGACGCGAATGCGATAGCAATATCGTGTGTCTGGGGTTAGGTTGTTCAACTGAATGCTGCCCGTGAGATCGTCATTGTTTCTTGTGGTGACTGTTTGTCCTGACACCTGCAAGCTGGGGCTGTTGGTATTGAATTGGCGGTTGTTGTTGCAAACATGATAAACAACTTGGACGCGAGAGGCAGATTGTGTCCGAAATCCAATCACTGCGCTAGTCCGGGTTACGCCACCCACGGCGCCCAACACAACGCCATTGGGAAGGGCTGGTTGAGCTGACACCAAGATCATTTGCATGACGGCAACCAGGGTTGCCATCAACACACACTTTCGGACCATCGTCATAACTTATTTTCTTCTTGAACCTCTTGCTGGCCGAAAATGTGGCCTGCCTCGATCTTTAATAACTTTTGGCTGCCATCAAATACTCGGAGTAGTCTCCTCATTCTTTTTCATTGATGCAATCCACATCAGAGTTTCGTCATCCTGATATTTCTTGATAGCTCTTGAGAACGGGCATTTTGTGGCCGCAGCTAGCCGTTCAAATGCGGCGGTGAAAAGACAAGATCCACTTGCCGCCAAAACCGAGACCCGAGAACACGTGCTGTGAAAGTGATTAAGATGATTTAGTAATCCCGGTTGAAGTGCCTATTTAATAGAAGCAAAGGCTTTTGGCAGAGAAAGCTACGCAGCTGATTTGCTTTTTTTAAATAACATAAATCACATTTGTCTTTACTGGGGGGTGCCTCAAACCAACTGAGTGTAACTGAGGATGTCTTACTCCACCTTCCTACCTTGACGCTTTGACCATCACCACCTTCAACCACGCTATACCGACCTCTACCGCTCGTTCTACCACCTTCTTTTTACCGCCTCCCACCGCGCTGTACCGACCTTAACCGCTTTCAACCGTCTGTTTTGGCCACTTGAAGTGATAATTCGCCCACCTTCCCAGACAGGGAATGAAGAGATTCTACAGAACGGAGAGTATGAGTTAACAGGGAGCCGACCATAAGGGAGACTGACGGACAGGAATCCGGGAGAGCCACTCATCCAAGGATGAGGTGGTGGACCGAAGTGTCGGGTGCACATGTGGTGTGCCTATGTGGTGTTGATGACTAGCTAGAAGGACTACTAATCGGGCGGCTACAAATCAGGTTCACTTTTTCTGAACCAGAGTTGCAGCCGCCCGACACCAATTTTCCTTTTTGACTGGGGGTAATTTAGTGTGAGCGTCCGCAACCTGAAAAAGTATCTGCTGCCCGACAGTGACCGCCTCCCTCGCCAAACCTTACTCTGAAGAAAAGTAAGCATGGACTTAGAGTTTGATACGCCGCGGCGGGTCACACAGTGTGACTTCCTTAGGGTCCGGTGTCGGAGATGGCGGCGTTTTGCACACCGCCGAGTGGTGTGCAAGGAGATTTTTTGTCGAGCCCGATTCGTCATGAAAGGTACCGTCTATGTTTTTTTCAGTGACCGTGGTATCGAGTGTAACCGGCCGGTCACCGAGGAGCTTCTCGGTCCAACCAGGTGGGTTACTCCTTTGAAGGGGTGTTAGACGCAATGACAAATACTGTGACGGAATCGCTAGTACCGCCTTGTCCCCCACGAAACGGCCGCTCTTCAAGCCAAAGAGCGAGCTGAGGACGAAGCCCGCTCCATGAAGGACCCGCGAACGCTCTCCCGGGATAACGGTGGAAACCGTGAACATGGGATCGCCTGACGCAAACGAGCTTTTTCGAGTGGAAGCACCAAGGGACGTGGAGGTCGATCTCCTTCGAAGGCGAAGAAGCCCCGGCCTCGCCGGGACCTTCTCGAGCGTACCGGCGGATCTTTCAGCACCCCCATCCCGGGTCATCAGAAGATCGCTGCCCGCAAGAAAACACCCGAAGGCTCGCTGAACGAGGCAGAGAGAGCCCGAAAGATCTCGGAGCTGGCCGCCAGGAACGAGCTAAGGAGGAAGTCGCCCAAGAGAAAAGCGGCTCGCGGCAGCAAACTATAAGCAAGAACGAGCCACTGAGATGGCCGTCCAGAAGCTCCCTACGTGAACACGAGGCAGCCGGAGCACAACGAGCAAGGCCGCTGAGGCCGCCAAATACAAGCAGAAGCAGAGGTTCAGCGAGCGTTGAACAAGCAGTCCCCAAACTTTACCCGTCCCGCCGTACCCCGAAAGAATCGAACCGTAGATCCGGGTAGTAAGGAAAGGAAACGAGCTGTCCGGATAGCCTACCGTTTCACGCCATGCCAAAAATATAACCGTCAACTTGTGTTACAAGTCGTCAAACAGTTGACGTACTTCCCAAGTAAGGCGGGGGTAGCGAGACAATGAGCCCGTATGATAATGATGGGAAAGTCCTGGACTATAAAAAGCACCTGAGCCTGCAGTTCGGAGACTACTGCCAGGTGCATGAAGAAGACTCGCCCGTAACAGCATGGTAGGACGCACAAAGGCGGCCATCTGTATGGGACGAGCGGAAATAAGCAAGGAGGCTACAAATTTATGAGCTTCCGCTCCGGCAAGAAAATACTCGGCATTCATGGGACAAGATCCCAATGCCCGACACAGTGATAGCTAGGTCAATCTATTAGGAAAAGATCAGCCTAAACTATCTTTTTACTGACCGAAAAAATAGACCCATGGGTGATGTCGAGATCACAGAGTGAAAGGGAAGAAAGCAAGTACGCACCCCCACTACCAATGATCCAAACCGATGAGGACCTGGAGCGGTTGCTGAAACCATTGACGAAATGGATGACCCGACGATCCCCAGGATAACGTCAACGACGACGAAGAATCGATAGTAACGAACCGAATGAAATCTTTGAACCGAAAATCGAAACGGACCGGTTACCCAACCTATGTTGAACGGTAGAGGAACCGAAACCTACTACGGACCAACAGCCCCTGGAACGATCCCAGGAGTGGGTGTTGAAACCCAAGCGGCCACTGAGCAGACGCCAGGAGTTCGCAGGTCTAGTAGAGTGAGGACACAAGCAAAGAATCGTATATTCCCAGCTTTGATTGGAAAGAAGTATGAGACGCAAACGTCCATACAATGACCGTGTCTTGCACCCAGATGCACACATGTTCTACCACACAGGTAGAAGAAGAACCGTATGTGGAGCGCCATCATGACACAGTTGTCATTGAAGGCTGGACTCAAGGAGTGGAAGGACAAGCGCACGATGCAGCCTTGCCGAGATGAAACAGTTACATCTCAGGAATACCTTCCGTCCGAAGAAAATGGAAGAACTCAGGATATGGAACGCAAGAGTATCCTAGAGTCACACCTGTTCCTAAAGTTGAAAAGGAAGGGGAAGATCAAAGGCCGAGCGGTTGCAGAGGCAACAAACAGCGTGACTCATCTCCAAGGAAGACGCAAGCTCGCAACAGTGTCGACAGAAGCAGTGCTACTCTCCTGCAAATCGACGCTGAAGAGGAAAGGGATGTGCAGTAATTGACATCCCGAACGCCTTCATCCAGACACGATTCGAGGATGAAAAAGATATGGTAATTATTGAGTAAGAGGAGTATTAGTAGACATGCTGTGTGAAATAGCCCCAGATGTCTACAACCGTTCGTGACAACGGATAAGAAAGGCAACAAGCAGTTGCTACTGAATGCTTGAATGCCATCTACGGCACATGGTAGCTAGCCTACTATACTACCGTAAGTTCGGAAGACGATGGTCCGGAACGGATTAAGATTAATCCTTACGACCCATGTGTAGCCAACAGAATGGTGAACGGCAAGACAACAAACAGTCTGCTGGCATGTAAACGACTGTAAGCTTAGCCACAAGGACTCGAAGGTTAACGACCAGCTGATCCAGTGCTTCGTGATGAATAGAAAGCATATTGAGGACGGCATTGGAGAGATGACGGTGAGCGGGAAAGGCCCACACGTATCTTGGCATGACCATAGATTCACGACGAAGGGTCAATGCAACGTATCAATGTACAAGTACGTTGTGAAACCTCTGGAAGCCTTCGAGAAGGCATCGCAGAGGAAGGGGGCACAAACTAGAAGTAGTGCAGCCCGAAAGACCTATTCATAGTAGACGAATCCTGCAAAAAGCTCCCAACGAGCAAGCAGACACCTTTCACAGCCTGTGGCTAAGGTGTTTTCCTACGAAGAGAGCCCGACCAGACACAGGTACGGCATATCGTTCCTTAGACTAGAGTCAAGGAACCAGATAGGCAGATGGAATAAACAGTCCACCTCATGCAGTAAATTAGACGTACTAGAAAACTACCATAGTTCTCAAAGCCGACGGAAGGTGCATATTGAAATGGTATGTTGATGGTTTCTTTCGCAGTCCATCCAAACATGAGGGGTCATACCGGAGGTGGTTTGACATGGGCACCGGTTACCATATCGACTTCGACGAAACAGAAGTTGAACACGAGAAGCTCGACTGAGAGTGAACTCGTAGCAGTTGATGACTTGATGCCATCGATCCTTTGGACGAGGCAGTTCCTTCGGAGCAAGGCTATGTAGTTAAAAACTATAGTCTATCAGGACAACAAGAGTGCCATCTTCTAGAGAAAACGGCAAAGCTTCTAGTAGTAAACGACGAAGCACATCAACATTAGTACTTCTTTGTGAGCGAAAGATGCAAAGAAGGAGATACAGTGTGGACTGGTGTCCAACTGATGATATGGCTGCGGACTTCTGGACGAAGCCGAACCAGGTCGACTGTTCAAACAGAAGTGGACAAGTTGATGGGTGTTGTGGAACCTCAGAGCCAGGGCACTCAGAGGAGGGTCACGGTCGGACAAGAGGTCCGTTCAAAGAAGGAGCGCTAAGCGGAGTAAGTAATTAAGCATGGTCGACGACTAGGAAAAGCTCGACGACCACAGGGTGTGTTGGGGATTCGCGATTAGGGATTAACCTGTCCTCTGTACTAGAATTTGATGCCAGTAGCAAAAGCTGGTACCCACACTTTTTCAGTAGTATCTCAATAGCAAGTAAACTAGAGAGAGCTTAGAGCAACTAGCAAGATCTGGATCGGTCCGGATTGATTCAAGCTTGGGAGGGACGCCACCTTGGATCTCATCATTGTGCCGGGTCGTCCAACCACCTAGGGCCTTACCAGCGGCATTGGTGAGAGTTTTCGTCCCCACAACATAATCAAACAGAGAATGGACAGATCTGGATTGCCAGCCGGTTCTGAAAACTTGGGCAAGGCCGCTGACGGATGTTGTTTCAGCGAGCTTCTGGTTGGAGGCTTTCCGTGCATGATAGCTTGTATAGTTCTTTTCTTCTATGAGCTCTTTCAGAGAGATAAACCCCTTCTTCATGCTGTCAAAGCACTGTTCCCAGAATGCTGAAACGTGAGCTTTGTTCTTCTTCTGTTTGTCGACGACATAGGCTTCTTTGCAGAACTTGGGAAACAGAGAGTTGTGGAAACCACAGATCAGGAGACAGTAGATGGGAGCAAAATAGGGATCTCCTTGGATTGACGTCTTATGGGGGTAGAGATTGAGCTCTTGGAGGGGTCCTCCTTTATCTCTCTGGATTGCCGTGCATAGGAGTTGATATTCTTGAAATTGTCGAGGGTGTCGATAGTGCTGATGTCATCTGGTCTTAATGTTGATGTCTCTCGTCCTCTTCCAAGGAGATGGTACAAGAAAACATTGAGTCCATGGAATTCAGCTGATTGGGCAGTTGCAAGCCAGAAGCATGCATTCCCCATGGCTTTCCTGTCGTCATCTGAGGAAGCAATTCTTGGTCTGACGGAGCGATCACCTGTTCGCTTGTCGCTATCATTGTAGAGTGATGCGTGGGTGTTGCGGAGGCTTCTCCAACTGGTTGTAAACACAGCGAGTGGGGGTTTACCGCGGAACTTTTTCTCAAAGAAGGATTTGATGGCGCTTGCATAACCAGTGGCCGCTTCGTAGGAGATAAGAGGCTTGGATTTGTCAAAGTACTTGTGGGCATGACATGTGATATAGTGGAAAAACTTGCCAAACAAGTCGTCCCACCACTTCTGATAAGCTCCGATATCCCCAAGACCATGGTAGGGGATGTCGTCTGCTGTGATCACAGGCGCATCTTTGTCTTCGCAGTAGAGTCTCAGAAAGTCATCAAAGTGTCTCTTGGCGGCGGAGGTTTTGTTACTGAGGCTTTTGGTGTCTCTGATGTCTTCCAATTCCGTGATGACTGTGAGGGTCAGGTCTTTGGGATCTTCTTCATCCATCATGGTTGCGACTTCAAGGGAGTAGGAGGCGAGTCCTTGGTTGTGCGGCCGAGAGGGATGGGACGTTTTCTTTGTTGTGGTGTCGGAATGAAAAATTTGCTTGGAATGAAAAACATCGGCGTAATTCGGTCAGTGACTCACTAGTTAAGAGCTAGTTAAGAGGCGTAATTCGCTTGGAAATGTCAGTGAATCACTAGTTAAGAGGATTTTGTCGTTTAGGAAACCTCGAAGAGTGAGTCGCCCGGCTCAAATACGGAGTAGGAAGTCATTCGTATGTCCGCACAAGTGCTTGATGAAAATCTTGGGTCATGACTGAGTTAGCTTTTGGAAAAAGCCTGATGACGTGGCATCTTGGTTTGACTCAAGAGAGAATCAACAGCGTCAAGACATGACCAAGATTTTGCTTTCAGCCCCTTGACTTGGAGTCAGTCTTGCCTGACTTGAGTTCTCTCTTGAGTCAAAGCCCGAAATGAAAAGGCCTTGGAAGTTGAGTACCGGTCAGGCCCTTCCTACTCAAGTCATGACTCATGATTTTTCCATCAAGACAACCCTTGTGCGGACATTATTAGATTTAGGAATGATTTCATCACTTAGGGAACCTCCAAGAGTGAGGTTTCGAAGGCGTCCTGGGCGTTTTCTCAGTTTCCAGTTCCTCCTTCTGCGTTCCTTTTTAAAATGCTTCCATTCTTAAAAAATTCGGTTGTGGCATCATTTAGATTTAACTATTAAGTCAGCGGGAGCTGCGATACCTCGGCAGAAAGACAGATAGAAGAAGGAGGAGCATGTTCGAGATTGCACCATCTTTCAGCAGCCCTGGCGACAACACCCGACTCGTCGTGTGTTCCGCCCGGTATCATTCATTCCTCATTGCACCTTCTTTATTAAGCTAGCCCTGGCGACAACACCGCCTACGTCGTGTGTTGCGCCCGGTATCATTCATTCCCTCATTGCAACCTTCTTTATTAAGCTAGCCCTGGCGACAACACCGCTACGTCGTGTGTTGCCGCCCGCTACTTATAATTTACCAGCTGCCATTCCCTTATTGTAACTCTAACTTTACAGCTCCTGCTGGCTTATTGTGCTGTTGTGCTATTTGCACTAACCTTAAATATTAATGATTTATTCCTACCCTAACTTGATTGAACCATCAATGTTCAGTTTTGTTGGCTTATGACTATCTCTATCCTTATACTTTGGCTTCACCGGAATAGGAAATAGGAAATAGGAAATAGGAAATAGGAAATTGGAAATAGCATTTAATCAGCGGAGCTGCGATACTTCGGCAGAAAGACAGATAGAGAAGGAGGATCATGTTCAGATTGCACCCATCTTTAAAGCCAGCCCTGGCGACAAACCCCGACTACGTCGTGTGTTGCGCCGGTATCATTCATTCCCTCATTGCAACCTTCTTTATTAGCTAGCCCTGGCGACAAACCCAACTCGTCGTGTGTTCCCCCGCTACTCTATAATTTACCAGCTGCATTCCCTTATTGTAACTCTAACCTTTACAACTCCTGCTGGCTTATTGTGCTGTTTGTGCTGATTGCACTAACCTTAAATATTAATGATTTATTCCTACCCTAACTTGTATTGAACCATCAATGTTCAGTTTTGTTGGCTTATGACTATCTCTATCCTTATACTTTGGCTTCACCGGAATAGGAAATAGGAAATAGGAAATAGGAAATAGGAAATAGGAAATAGGAAATAGGAAATAGGAAATAGCATTAAAGGGGTTGAGAACTCAGGCAGTTTACCTGCCGGGGTAAAGGGGTTGAGAACTCAGGCAGTTAACCTGCCGAGGTTAATAGTAAGATGAGACGTGTGTCACAAGGATTTTGCATGTTCATGCCGTCATGTCGTCGGTGTCCAGATGTCATAATAGTAAATGTAACAGAGCATCGACCGACAGTACCAGGTACCAGAGCCATCGACCGACAGTACCAGAGCATCGACCGACAGTACCAGAGCATCGACCGACAGTACCCTGCAGAGACAAAGGAGTTATCATCATGCCGGCTGTTGTGGAGACCTCTTCTGGTGGTCCTCTTGATGGGATCGTTCAGCAGCAGCTCGTCTCTTTGGATGACACGGACGCCTATGCGTCCGTTTGGTCCGATCTGTTGACCAATGCCGGTACGACCAAGCCCACGGAGGCTTTTCTGTGGGGAGGTCGAGGCCAAGGAGGACGTGGATTGGCTCGACGTACTTATCAACCGCGAGATATAGTGGTGGACGATGTGAGACTCGAGTTTGTTGGCATTCAAGACAGCCAAACCAAACAAACGCAGTTACCCAGCAAACTCTTGTTGGAGGGTGCTACGTTGAAGCTTTTGCCTGGGCAAGTGTACGCTCTCGTGGGACGGAATGGTGTTGGCAAGTCAACCCTCCTCAGAAGGATACAAGCGGGAAAGATTCCAGGTTTTCCAACACATGTAGCAACCCTGTACATTCCACAAGAATTACCCATGCCGTCCGACGAAGAGTGTTCTGCTTTGCAATTGGTTCAGGACCAATTTGCACTCTTCTCCAAGGCTACTTGCACCAGTCTGCAGCATCAAATGGAATTATTGGAAAAGGAACTGGATGAACTGCAAGATGATGAACAGAAAATGGAGGAGTTGTGCGAAGAGATATCAGAGATCCAGGATGCCATGGACCAAGCCAACCAGTATGGTGAAGATGCACACACGACGACAAGTTTGGTGCAACTGGCTAAAGAATCGTTGGCATTCTTTGACATTGACGAGGAGCTCAGCGCTCATATTCCATACAATAGACTTTCTCCGGGCAGGAGGAAAAAAGTTGCTTTGGCTGTGGCTGTGCTGTGTGCCTCTGCTGTCTCTCCCAGCCAACAATTCCTCCTGTGCCTGGATGAGCCAACGAATCACCTCGATGTGGCCGGCCTGATCAAGCTTCGGCAATTTCTCCTCTCTGGGCAAGACGAAAAGAATCGTACCGTTTTGCTGGTCTCTCATGACACAGATCTCCTCAATGACGTTGCCACCAATACCATTATATTTTCTCACCGTCAGAAAACTCTTGCCTACTATACCGGAAACTACCGGGATTATCTCAAACAGTCCTCAATGCAAGAATTACATTTGCTCCGTCAACAAGTTTCACTCGACAAGAAGCGCAATCACTTGATACAGAACATTCAGCATATCAAGGACCAACCAGCACCCAGGCGAGGAGGCAACCGAAAGAAGGCCAAAATGATCTCCGCACAACGAAAAAAGCTGGACCGCCAAGGTGTGGAAAAGAATGAAAAGGGGCATCGACGGACACAGCAACAAGCGGGTACAGGGATCAAAGCCGGTTCCATAAATGGTATTGACGCCTCTACGCGCAAGGATCTGTCGACCTCTGAGCTATTGCAATTGGCAGAAGCCTCGGTGCGGCCACCGCCTGATAAAGCAGTCCAGTTTGTGTATGTATTGCTCGTTGGTTCTGATCTTGCGTGTTTTCCTTTGAAACTCACATAAAGTTGCTTGTGCTCTCCCACGACCAGCTTCAGAGACACTGGTTGTGCATGGGACGAACCGTTAATCATGGCAATGGACGTTGGCCATGGGTACGGGGCAGTTCAACCAGACGACAATACTCCGCCAGCCCCCAACAAAGATGAATTTGTCATCACGAAGAAACCTGGATATCTATTTGATTGTGTTGATCTATGCATCAACGAAGGCCGCAAATACTGCTTGCTGGGAGCAAATGCATCCGGAAAGAGTGTCTTACTGAAAATCTTGGCCAAGCAAGAGGATCCATTAGAAGGTACCGTTCATCACGCCCACAATGTCCAGATCGGGTATTTTGGTCAGGAGACAATGGATCAGCTCATAAAAGATGCCACCACTGTTCCCGGCACTGCGTTGGAATACCTTTCCAAACGTTTCCAAAGAAAAGCGAGCAAGATCTCAGAGGATTTCTTACTGACTTTGGCTTGAGTCCCCAACAGGCAAGCACCGACGTTCGGTTCCTGAGTGGTGGGGAGAGATGCCGCCTTTGCCTGGCATCGCTCATGCTAGAAAAGCCGCATGTATTATGCTTGGATAATCCGACAACCAACTTGGATGTTGAAAGTGTGGACGCTTTGACGTATGGTCTGCAACAGTGGAGAATGGAACGTCGTCGTGTGAGCCATGATACCAGTCTTATCCGAGAGTTGGAAGCTGAGTGCGCCGTGCTGGTTGAGCAGGAAGGAAAGCTACGTAGGATAGACGGAACGATTGATGATTATCTGAGAGCTTTCGCTTACTAACAAATAACATGCACAGTTGCGATGACTTTTGCTCGGGGTCGCGCCCTCAATGTCGAGAGGGGGCACTTCTATGCATACATGTACGGTACCGGTACTCTTCGGTGCCGTATGCATGCCAACGGAATTCGGTTCGCTCGACCCGCCGTTGGAGCGGCTAACTTCCCACATTCACGAAGCGGCAGCCTTCGTGCCACTGCTTCCGCCACTGCCGATTCTTCGAGCTCAGGCTCATCGACCTGCAGATCTTGGTACACTGGTGTGTTTTGAAGAAGAGATCCATGCCCTTTCGGCCCTTATCTGGGAGAAGCATCGAAATCGACGTGCATGTTAGCGCTGGTTTTCTTGGGCATGACACACGTGTCTTTCACTTAACCTGTTCTACCAAACACAATTTCGCGTCGCGAGGACTTGTAGTGAATGGCTGGATCAGTCAACTCGAACGTTGGCGGCACCATGCCTTTATGGGAGAGGGACAGAAGGTTGGGACAAGTTGTAGCGAGGCGATTCAACCTCAATACTGTTCTCACCTTCATTGTAAATGCCTTGAAGATCGCACACCATGACTTTCTTGTTGGTGAACAAGTATGAGAAATGTGTGAAAGCCTGCAAGAAATCAGAAGGTTTCACATCGGATTGGTGACCATCAGCCACTGCAGGCCCGAAAGGATCCTCCAGTCCATCACAAGAATCTTCATCCTCAGAGTCTTCGTCCGAGTCGCCCTCAGCAATCGCTCCTAGGGGGGACGTTTCTCCTCTGAGGACAGCCATTTCGTGGTCGACATCGATCGGAATGTGGGCGACGCGGCCGTCGACTGCACCCGCGTTGTCATTCCATTTCTGCCACTCGTATCCATCGGTGTCTAGCTTCTTTTCAACCAAGATTCCACGAAGCCCTCGAGGGGCCGACGGGTCGCTTAAGACAAGGACTGAACAGTCCAGGAAAATAATCTTCGGTGTTCGAGTTGCATCGTAGTTTGGGAGTGCCTTGAGGCGTTTGTTGAACTCCTTGGCCAGATGAGAGGCAAGGTTTTGGGTTTCGAAAAAGGTCCGGTGGAACTCGATGTTTTCTTGAATGCGCTCTACGGCGTTCGTTTCCTTGGCAATCATGGCTCCCAAGACGAAGCTCCTATGACTCTCTCTTTGCGCCAAGAAAGATCGAAAGGCCAGTCTCTCGGCACCTTCGCCGCACTTTCTGGTGCTGATTCCAATGAAGGGAGGAGGTGAAGGGACGAGGCTGTTGAACTCTGCATTGTTTTCCTTTCTCCACGAACCGGCTGGGAGAGAGGAAGAAGGAAGAAAGCGCTTGATTTTGGGATCGTAAGCAGCGAAGTGCTTGTGGATCTTGTAGAACTTCCAATCCTCGAAGCCGGGCTGGTCGCCTTCACTAGCAACTTCTCGCTTAGTATACTTGGACGCCCGGCCTAGCATTAGTGAAGTCCGGGTTTCAGTTAGGCTGGTGACGAGGCTGGAGACAGCAGACCCTAAGGCGTGGGAGAACTTGTCACAGTAGACGAAATCAGACTTTGTTTCAGGCGAAGAGACTTTTGCGGCATTGGCCATCTTTTGAAGCACAGAGAAGTCTCGGAATTGATCACCAAAGCCAATCGTCTGGATACAAAGGTTTTCTCGGAATTTGGCTGCGATGCTCGCCATCCGCGCACAGGTCTGTCGCTCAGCAGCGAGCGGTGTCAAACCATTAGTCTGGGCATCTGTTGGGGCACCATCGCTCAGAAACATGATGGAAAGGGCGCAGTCTTCGTGAAAGTCTATTGCAAGCAGCTCTTCAGCCATCTTCAACGCAGGTAGATAGTTGCTGTCCCCTTGGAAGAAGGAACTGTCCCGCATTCTATGACGCTCTCGGTCTACAAAGGGCCTACTGTCTCTTCTGTTGAGGACTTTGTTGTACAAGACCCACCTTGCAGGCTCCCGCTTGAACACAACTCGTGCACTGCTGCTGAATTCCACCAATGATACGACGTCGCTGTTGTTGGCCGTGCCGTTGAAGAGCTGTTCAGCGACGAATTCCAGCGCAACATTTGTGTAAGCCGCTGTTTGACGGTCTCTGTGAAGATTGATGTCATGAGTTAACATTGACCCCGAGACATCTACAACTAAAACAGTGTGAGACTTGCAGAGTTCCGGCTTCAGCGATAGCACCTCCTTCGCTTTTCTGTGCATTTCCTGCGTTTCTCTATCTTCAGGGGCATTTGCCAACGGAGCTGGATATGCGGTGATTTCCTTTCGCAACGTGGAGTCGGTAATGAAGACGATACCATCGTGCTCGACCTTGTATCGTCCGCCCCAAACGCAGCTTCTCGTTCCATGCTTCAGTGCTTTTTGAAGATCCCTCTTGTCTATATCTCTCTGGTCTCTTCGCATCCGACCATGTTCTGACGACAAGATGGTGATCAGACTGGTTTGCCTGTTTGCGTACATCTTCGGAAAGAAAAATCAACTGCACAGAAAAGTGGGCCAACCAAGTAAAGGATCTTTCATGGCTTTGGACGGTCCACTCTTTTAAAACCCCTTGGTTTGAAAGGTACGGCAAAACCCTACCACAACCAAAATTTCGGATCCCATGCTCGCGTGATGATCCTTGGCATGGAGACATCGTTCATGGAGCAGATTGGAGCTTTGATCTTCTATGAAACAAAGAAACGCTATAGTTTTTTAAAATGGTTTAGTGGAGTTTTCAAAAGCAAAACCTCGCACTTATGCCGGTGGCTAGTGCAACAGAGTACCCAGCAGAATAGACCGCGTCTTCACTTTTGGATTGGACAATCAGTCAGCGTGATGCACCATGAATTCCATCACTTTCGAAAGATAGCGTCTTTGGCTTCCTGTATCATTGGCCCAAACGGTGAAGAGACCATAATATGTTGCAACCGAGAAGGATGGCATAGCGATCTCCCCTGCAAATACTTTGTAGGCTCCAGCAGGGTTGGCGCGATCCACCCGTTCAGTTCGGAACAATGTCAAGTCCATCTCAGTCTGGCAAGGAGGAGTTTTCTTCAGGTCCAGTGGAGAAGTGGCGAATTTTGATGATACCTGGATATAGGATGAGGGACATTCGTCTTCCCGCGCAAAGAAAGAAAGCCTCAAGTTTCTGTCTTTTGGTTGATTGAGCAGCAAATAGCCAGCAAAGAGGCTATCTCTTCCTTCCACGTTCAAACCAAGGCGGAAGTAGGACGGATAGAAATTTGGAGACGCACAGAATTGTTCCAATGTCCATGTTGGGTTGAGGCATTGGTTTTCAGCTTCCGTCGGATAAAACTGATGAATGAAATGATGTGGGTTCACTTTCCAATACTCTTCGTTCACACCATCACCAGACTCCAACTCCCCCAGTGCTGACCAAGTGCAATCAACCATAAAGGGCTCTCCTGAGACGGACAAGACGACATTCCAAGCATGCGTGTCCATGTGTGCAGCATTGAGCTTCGCCTTGAGCACTTTGGCATGTTTCGTGACTCCAGAGACGTAACGGACCTCCGCTTGCACTCCACCACGATCGCACATCCTTGCAAACATCCACGCGTATCCTGCGCACACTGCCTCTCGATTGTGTATGATAGCGTCCATGGCGCAGTTTCTGTCTGCCTCGCTAATGTTCCTTTCGCATCCTTGCAGCTTTCGTCTTGTCCCATTGTCGGCTATCGAGTCGTGATCATACTTCACGTTGACAGTGAGCCAAACAAATACAGCCCTTATCTTGTCCGTGTCGTCACCACCACATGCACCAGACTCTTGCATAAGCCTCTCAGTGAATTCACGCCAACTTTCAGAGAGCATTGGTTGGCAATTCGCCGCTCTACCGTCCATATCATCCGTCCTTGTCCTAGGCATGCATAGGAAAGGGGCTGACGCAAATCGGATGTTTGGCTCCGAGCGGAAATGTGCATCATTGTCGCGAGACGCAGTAGTCTGGCTATGCCCAAACGATGTGCTCGGAGGTATCCGAGGCTCCTGAAAACGAGCCAATCGCTTGCTTCTGAGCTCCGACTTCGAAACCTCGTTGTTTTCCCGCTCGGATAGATTCGATGAACTCGAGAAATTTCCAATTCTGCGTCCTTCAACCCGAGAGTGCCGAGCGTTATGCTCCAGCACCGTCATGCACAAAGCGGGTTCCTTTGAAAAGAGTTGTAAGGTGCTCATGTCATCGAGAGTCCATGTTTGCTTACACAAAGCTTGCCCGAAGCGCTCCGGCACATTTGCGTCTTTCATCCACTGACGGCGTTGGTCCGTGTTGACACGATGGCTTGTCAGATCAACGGACGGCTCAGCCTTTCTGGCATCCATCTTCTTTTCCTGTGCAATATCTCTCTGGTGAGCTTGAACTTGCTTGATACACTCGAGAAGCACTTCTTCATCGTCTGCTCCCCTTCCAGCTGACGTGATCGCTTTCGCAACGTCCAGGTACTGCAAACTCAGACATCCACCTTGAACGTCCTGAATATGCTTCATCTTCTTCTCGCGCTCTCTCTGGGCCGCAAAGAGTACGTCTGAGGCAGCATCACGTGCCTTTCCAAGCTTCCGGACTATCGAATCCGGCTCCTCCCGTGCTGATGGCTTACGATCAACTTCGCTACAAAATCGCTCGTCATTCTGTGACTCCTTGGTCGCCTTTGACTTGAAGCACATTTCACAGGTAACGTACTCGCCTGGATTCGTGAACGTGCAGTGACCGCAACTCCATTCGAGAAGGTCAGCACCACGCAGCTCGTCCACAGATTCAACAAGGTCAATGTCCGCGTCCTCCACCTTCTTCTGCACCTTCGCCTCTATTGAAGAGACGAGGCCACCATTATCCACTTCTTTCGGCTGCTGACACAGGACGCAGATATCATCCTTTCCACTGTTTCGGTAGGTACACTGTGCGCAGTTCCAAATTCGACGAGATGTTTGGCACATTTCACAGAAAGCGTTTTCGGAAGGATTCCGCAACGTGCAGCCTGGGCAGTTCCAGGTAAAGCGTTTGCCTTGACAAGCTGCACAAACATCCGGTGGCTCCTCGCTCATCGTCACGAGTTCATGATGGCAAAGATCGCAGACCCAATCGGTTTTCATGGTGCTTGTTGGTTGCTTTGTGTGAAACAGGCATCCGACTTCCATCCTACCGCACATCGAACGAAACCTTTGACTTCCACGCTCCACCAAACTTTCGGGTACAGTAGGCCAACGGATGCACTCCACGGTCGTCGGGTACCACCAGTACAAGATCCACATACAACGTAATGAAAAACGGACATGTTTTGGGACAAAAATGTGGATAAATTCAAGATCCATGATGAACGAGAGGGGAGAACGCCCTTGGGACATGAAAGCAATCTGACGCTTCTGTTGTGACAAATTTAGATGGACGAACGCCGAACGCGAGGCCAGCGCATGCAGAGGATCCATCACAAGAGGGGAGAACGCCCTTGATACAAGCAACATGAGGTTTTATCCACGGGCTTGGAAACCGTGGAAAATTTATCCACGCTTATCTCCCTGGTTTTAAGAAACCGGCCATCCTTTGCCACAGATGTACGGTACCCGTAGCAGATGGCATACCTTCGGAGGCACCCTACCAGGGCTTTCTCTTGATAGCCCAAATAATATCTGTACGAGTCCTCACATCACCATTATTTCTGATGTTCCCTTTTTCCTAATAATAGAACGGGAGTCGACTGACCACATATCTTCCTGCCACCAATGCAATGGCGGAAAAATACCACAGTTGAAAGGCATTCGCCAGAATTTGCGTGGCTTCATCCAGTCCGACGGAACCACCCGAATACAAAGTCACCGCAAGCACTCCTTCCAGTAGCACCAGCGCCAAAGAAAATGGGACCAGCAATTTGGCCACGGTTTGGAGGGACTCTTCCGGTGATGCCACTGCCTTGTAATTCAATCCATCTGTACTAGAAAAGGCGGAACCCAGCCATGCAATTCCAGTGACGCTGAATCGTTGCACGAGAACCGGCAAGGTGTTGGATACTCCCGTGGAAGTTACCGGTTGGATCCATCCACCATTGTTCCAAAAGGTTGGATCGTTCAGGACATCGGTGAGTCCCAACAGCTGCGTCGCAATCGCAATGGCTAGCAAATCAGCTATAACAATAGGTGATTCCACCGAGAGATAATCGTCACTAGTGGAGTTTCTTTCAAAGGTTGTCGTTGGAGTCCCAGTACTGTTGCTGTTGCTGTTGGTGGATCCTTCCGCATACAATCTTGTGGCTGGGAAAGAGGGCCGTGGCGCCAGTAGTGGAACCGGCTTTGCATCATATCGCACAGAGGTCGCCGTAAAAGCTGTGACCAAATCAGAATGGTAGGAAACCAGGATCAGTAACAGCAAAGCAACAAGAGGCATCATGGTTGGAGAGTAAAAGATGAGGGATCACCTTTTTAAACGATATAGATGTGACGAACTGGACAATGATGAGGGTCTGGAGAGAGCGCTGTGTCGTTTGCTCAGCGCTTTTCCTTTGCTTGTCGCCTGGACCGGTACGTCAGTCGGAACGCTCACATGCTCCATGAAAGTCGAATTATTCGAATCGAATCAGTCGAATGATCAATCGATTCATATGCCCTCTGGGTCGTCTCCGTTTCCAGTACTAGTTTAACTCGTTTACTAATACAGGATTATGGTGAATAGAATCGAATGAATCATGTGGCTTATATTTAGGGTTTAGGTTTGGCAATTTTGAAGTCAACGTGGTATATGTGAGGTTGTAAAAGTTTTGTGTGATAGTATGTGTTAAGTGGAGGCTCGCTTCCGCTGGGAGCTTGGTGTCTTCTTCTTCCTCTGTTTCCCGCTCTTCTTCGGTACTGGGGTATTCGGTAATAGGATCGTGAGCAAGTTCGGCAGCTTTCTTCATACCATGTGTTGTGGAGTGTCATCATTCTGACTATTCGCAGGTGACACTTTGGCCGACGTGGTTCGTGGAACAGGTGGAACGGGAGATGACGTATTTGGTTGCATTGGAACTGGGAATGGTTTGCGAATAATATTGGGAGGTCAGTATTGAGGATTTGAAAGTGAGGGCACGGGGGATTTATATGGGAAGCTACTGTAGGAGACTTACCACCGTTCTTCCTGCTGGTGCTTTTCGAGAAGAGTTCCAAGAAGGCCTCAAAGTTCATGCTGGGGGGTAGTGCGAAACCATGGGGAAGGGCCGTGTGGATAGCTTGAAGGCGAATCTGGTGGAGTAGAGGTGGGGGCGGGGGATGGTGTGCGTGCGTAATGGCTTGTAATAAATGTTGCGACGTGAACAGTGATGGCCCGCATGGACCGAAGTCCGATGCATCCAAGTGTTGTTTCGGTGAAACCAACGGACGTAAGACGTGAAGCCGGGAGTTGACCACGAGCCAAATAGTAGTACACATGGCCGCTTGTCGTCCTTGAGGTATTCGGATACAGTGCGGTATTCGCCTGTGATCGATCCAAAGAATGCGTCACAGGTGAGTCATGATGTGGGAGTGGGTGATCAGCTCACCTCCAGGTGTCATGGACCTTGTACCATTTGTCCTGTTCGTCGAGAACTAGGTAGGGTTTATCCTTCTTTGCCGGGTCGTACACGTATTGCATTGTAGGCCGGTTTAAAGGTTTATTGTAACCACTTCAAGCCATTTCTGGGGTTGGGATCTGGGGCAACAAACGTTCACCAGTTTGTTTCGTCAACTTAACCTCTTGGGGCACATGATAACAAAGAGCCTCTTTGGTCATAAAGCAGTACCGTTGGTGGCCTCGTACATAAGGTGCTTTTCCCCATCAGCAGGAAGCGGGGTCCACCAATTTGAATACCCACTCGATCATGTGCTTGTCAGCGAGGGCTTGAATAAAGGCCATCATGTCTTTGGGTTTAATGCCGTTGACGGGGTGGTCTTTGTCGTCGGTTGAACATACACCCGGTAGCTTTCTTTTCAACAAAGCCTGTGAACTGATGGAACATTCCGGGGAAGGGGGAGTCTTCGTCTTCCTTGAGGTTGTTGGGAATTACAGCGTGGAAATCACAGGAGTTTGAAAGGACTTTTTGCTTTGTTGTCCGCCGGCTTTTTTCTTCTTGCTGTTGATACCCGCGGAAGTAGGGTTCGATTGCGACGACGTGTGTTGATGTCGGGTGTTTGGGAAGACATGGTGAAGGAGTTCTGAAAACTTGAAGTCCGAAAGAGGAAGGTGAGTGGCCATGTTGAAAGGCAAAACAATTGTCAAACAGAAGAAGGTAAAATAGAAAGTACTTAGGTGGGGAGGAGAGATGGCGTGATGGGTTGGATGCTAGGTAGGGATGAGGGATGTTTGAGGTTTTGCTAACCGATTTTGTGACTGTTCAAGATGATCGATGCGATAGAGAATGGTTGCATATATACATTTTCAAATGCAAAGAAAGTATATATAGAAAGCGGGGATGTCTTCGCCTGAGTGTATTCGCTGATACGATTGAGCGGAGATAGTGTAGCCTGGCTTGGAATGCTATAGTGAAACAGTACACTTGTATCGAAGGGGGAAGGGGCGTTGCGAGCGGAAGTCGTGTAACGATTACCTTCGCTAGAAATCGCAAGTTTTCGTGGAAAGATTCTGATTTGAATTATTTAGGGGACAGTACCGTAGACACATGAAGAACACACGTGTGATTGGAGTTTGTGAAATCCCCCAATTGCTGCCTGCGGGATTTAGGGTATTTGAAACAGTTGCATATAATGATATTTTATCCTACCCACCAGATGACTAGAGCGGGCCATCACGATTTTTGATTTTCGGGTATATGTCATCTAAGTGAAAATCACAGCGAGATGGGAGCGGGGCGCGGATGTAAATGAAGACGTGGGATTTACTTAACGATCAACATGACAGATTAGGAAACGTGGTGCGACTGGTTTCGCTGAAATGAATAAGATTTGTCACGCTGTTTTCAACTGTTGTGGTTGGGTGTAGATAGCGTGATTGCGCTACCAGTGAAGTCAGCTGTTCTATCGTGAAAATTGGATGGAGTAAAGATAATAGAGTACAATTTTGCTTCGATTTCCACAGATGCATACAGCGAAAGTGTCTGTTCCGAAGAACTGTGGAAGATAGGCTTCGTTCTGCAAAATCCTAATGGCAGGATGTTGTTCTCTACATGCAGTGCTTCGTGGGGCTTTCTTTTCTTCTTGTGGCCAGCCCTTCCCATGTCCTCGCCAACTTTGAGCCTTTTTAAATTATCGGCAATGTCAAGAACGTGGAGTGCGTTCAGGCTAACATCAACCGTCGGTATGACATATCTGATGATGATGGATCATGGACCAATACGTTTACGCCACTATGTCTGCTCTGTATTCGATGAAACCATCATGCACGAAAAAAATGTGGAATGGTTGTTCTTCTATCAGTTAAAGAAGGTTCAAGAACATCTACGTTGGGAAAAAGTCTTCCAAGATCATACGGAGTACCGTTGTGAAGCTGTTGAAGACTGTTACTGCTTTAGGGATCCACCTGCGAGGTTTCTGAAGGGATGTCGAAGATGGCTTGGTGAACTGGCGCTGTCACCACGTGGAGTTTAAGGGAAAAGGAGCAACGGTCGGAAATGGGCATATCCTGTTGCAAAGGATGTCACGGGAAACTGAAGAAGGAGAAGCCTGAATCGCCACTATATGCTATTGTCAACAGCAACTTTGTTGGAAGTGCACCTGATATTCTCAAGGAATTAACAGAAGTCGAGATAGCATTTATTACGCAAGTGAAATCTTACGGGTACTGTTTTTCCTATGTTGGCGAAAGGATGAAAACTTTGAAGGGGGTCATGACCTTTATGTGGGTAGACTACAATGTGATTGGTCGTGCACCGGCACATCTAGAAG